TTTCTCAGTCCAGGGGACAAATAGTAAAGCACCCATGCCTGTCTTTCAGGCTCTGTTTGTCTTTATCTGTATTTCAGAAAAAGGAAGTGCTGTTTGAGGCTTGAATTAAGGAATGTGTGCCTACAATTATGTAAATTGGTCAAATACATTTCGAGGAAGACTCAAGTAGAGTGAATTGGTTGTATTCATTGTACCTGAGGGGGAATTTGTCTGGGGCACCATGCTACAGTCATTTGTTTCACATAAAGAAATACGTGAAATCTTAAAACACAAGAGACCTTTGACCATACATTTGATGTTTGACATTGGCACCTGTAGAATTAAAGTGCTAAGTGCTTAAATGCTTGTGAATTCAGAGCAAGAGATATCATAAAAGTTCAGCAGCGTTTGAGAGACTGACACAAACGTTAGTTTTAAGCGGTTGGAGTTGCACTTTGGCACACATCATCTTTTTCCCTCCTTACAAAGGTTTAGAATTCCAAGAAGAGTGGATGTTGAAAGTCTGCAATGATTTTTGTTGCTTGACTTAGTTACAACCATTAGTTTTACCTCAGCATAAATCATTCTGTAAGAATACATGTCTCTTTTCTCCAACAGCTAATATCTCACGTGTCAATTGTTGCCCTAATTTAAACAGCCTATTCAAACCCTTGATAGTAATAGAAGGTGGCTTGGTTCTTAAGGGTCTGTTGTAAATGTTTGTCTTGCTCGAGGAGATAAAAAGAGGTAGTTTACTTTTCGGATTTCCTCAGAATCATTGTATTCCCAACCCACCCATTGCTCAAACATATGTCAGTGTAGGGGGCTTTTGGTGGCAGCGAAGTAGAAAAGTGATGATAGATTGAGGACACAAAAGACAGAAGAGCAAATGTGTTGCGCTAAATCTACAACCTTCAGTCAGCCTTCATATTGACTGACTCGGAGGGGTTGCCTCAACTCAAATCAATGTTAGCCCTGAGAGCATTGAATAGAAAATCATTCAAATTGTATTAGGTTAGGATATATGAGCCATTTCCAAATATTAACTCAGCATTATTTGAGGTGTCTGTTAAGGGGAGCAGTTACAGCTCGCAGTGCGTCGACTCGACTGATTGATTACAAACCTCTATTACATGTGATATATGAATGTATGAGAGGGACCTATTTTTCATTACCAAGACATCGTCCCTAGAGGCAGTTGTTAAAGAAGAATCTATGAATTACCCCCCTGGAACAACTGGCCCTTGTCGTGAGTCGAGGAGAGAGGAAAGGGAAGGGGAAAGGAAGGGGAAAAGGGAAGCGCACTATTGATGGCGCTGGGATTGAGAGACTGGAAGGACGCCAGGAGATGCTTGTGATCCTGCACACCGCCGCCGCTCCCTCTGTCCAGTTAATTGGAATACAAAGCAGAGCAGGGTCGATGAGAGAGTGGTGAGGACGAGGAGGGGAGAGGAGGGAGGGAGGGGAGCTGCTGTCTGTCTCCAGCTACGCTCAACCTTCACTGCTCGCTGGGAATTGACTGGGGAACCAGCAAGCGAGACCGACACACTGTCACTGGTAAAATGAACTGTCACCTTGCATTTCTCAGCCTCCTGGCAGCATCGAATTGGCCGCTTTGAACCATGTGACGTGACACTGATTGAGTTCTGGTTTCCCCCCCTCCTGGGCTCTAAGAGGAAGAAGCCAGTTTAATTTCAAGTGTACAGCCTCGCCATGCAAAGAATCCATGCACTCCCCGGTTTGGTTCGAAACACCAAAACCTTTCATGGGCCGCTCCATTCTTCCTCACCACCCCTCATTATTTCATTGTGCTGCTTCGTTACGCTGCCTCTCAGCTAGTCTTGTTTTTCTTACGGCATATAGTCATGGCGGTCTGACAGGCACACAGAGGAGGAAAACTATTAGGGGTAGCCATTTGGATCCTGGAGGCAATCCCAGGGAGTATTAAGACGTTAACCCTGGCCAAGTCACTTGTCTCTCTCAGTTACTATGCTGATGGAGTGGGGAAAGGATGCAGTCGCAGGGGGGACCCAGGAGGCCAGGGCTTCAGGTCGGCTGGCGCTTCCAGATCCAATAGAGCCTGACTCAGATGGGGGATGGTTGTCAAGAATCTCCCAGTCTGGGCTAAAAAGAGCCTCAGTGCCATAACAAAGGAAGAAGAGAGTGTGCCATTCATAACCGGGCAGCATTTCTCCTCAAGGCTTCATCAGAAGAACTGTGGAAATGAAATGATATTGGTCGAAAGCGACAGTAAAAATCACATATGTGGCTGTTCATGGTTTCTTTAGTGTCTTCTAATTCACAACACTGTCCAATTCTGATAAAAGTGCTAAAACGTATATTCTCGTTAATAATAAACACATAGGGAATCGGAATGCATTTTCTGCATGTTTAAAATGTTCAACCTACATTTTTTTTCATTTATGACTTTTTTTAAATCAGTTTTTACTTCTTACTAATGCTCCTACAATAAGTCGATCAGAAGTTAATCAGAACATTTATTTGCGGCTATTTTGATGAATCATTTATACAAATTCAAGCACAACTGACCAAATGTAACGATTCCAGCTTCTAAAAGAGGAGAGTTTGCTGCTGTTAATTGTCTTACATTATAGTAAATTGAATACATTTGGATTTTTGACCAAAAATGAATTGTGATTGGCTATTTTCTCTTTTTTCTGGTGATTTACAGTCTAAACAAATTCCCAAGAAAATAATAAATCAGCAAATTATTGATATCATAGACAATTGTTAGTTAGTTAGTTTGTTAGTTAGTTAGTTAGTTAGTTAGTTGCCTTCCAGCATGATAGAAATATGACATTATGTTTTATTCCTAAAAAATGTTTTATAAATAAATCAGAGTATGGTCGATATTGCTCTGTATCTTCCTCTTCAATTGATGCTTATCTCTGCGTCTTGTAAGCATATTAGAGTATGTAGTAGATAATGTAGTTTGATAACATAAATGACTCTTCTGCTGTATCTCTTAGATCACCAACCCCCCGGTATCCCATGAATACTGTTTCTAGTTTCCCTTTGAAGCCCTGGGACCCTGCAGAGTGACATGCGACAGAGGAACTGGTCGAAAACCAAGGAAGTGAGCATGGCAATAGACTTGTAAAAGAGCCAGCAACAACTGCCATCAGCATGGGGTACAAACAGCACTGGGTTGACCTCAAACAAAGTGCAGAGGGAGGCGGGCCGGCTAAACATGTGTAAGATATCTGAGGAGAACATGCCGGACGCTGTCTATTAATAGACCTTGTGTTTGTGCACTCTGCAGTTCGTTTTTCTATTATTTTTCTGACCATAAATGATCTTCTGTCATGTCCCTCAGTGTTCATTAACCACTCTCTCCTCCTTGCCCTACATTCCCCTGCAGAAGGCGAAAAGAGCTTTCCTGATCCGAAGGTGAAAAACATCCTCCTCCTCCTCCTCCTCCTCTTCCCCCGGACTGGAACATCTGTCTCCGTGGTGTTGGCTGCAGTGCCGACTCTGACACCTCCAGATGGAGGACCCGCTGGGAGCGCTGAGGTATTACCTGCAGAGATGGCAGGGATCACACCTCTGGAATGAAGTCCCACACTTGTTTTCAGCACCGTCCCCCTCTTATTGTTGTTGAATCTGTCGCTATTCACCATATCGATTGTCACCTTGGCCTTGCGACTCTTCTAGAAGCTTTTGGCTGTTAAAGAAATGCGTGACAACAAAACCTCTCAGCCCCTTTTCTAATTTACAGTAATGGGCCGTATGGTATTTCAACTGTAGCGTCTATAAGTGGAACTGCATTCATTTTTAATATAGTTGCTCGAGAACTGCTTGTGGATATATTTCAAATGATTGCTGTTTTGTGTTTCCTACAAACACAGGGTTTTTTTCAGAGGCCCTGAACATAGCAGTTTGAATAAATCAGAGCTTTGACTAAATGGGGTTTAATCTCTGTAGTGTAAATATCTAACGCAATACCTACAGAAAATCTTAAGTATGAGAGGCCCTCGAGTTGACTTCTCCGAGCCACTCTTGGTGTCTTGACAGATTGACTCTGCATTCATTTGTGCCTGAACTCTGCGTGAACCTCAGCTTTAGGAAAAAGGGCACCAACAGGCCGGTGCTGCCGGAGCAGAAACTCTGTGTGCGCAAACTTAACACCCAGTGCAAATATTGGAACTGCTGCCCCTTCACCATCAACTGAAACTAGGTGGTCAGCCTCAGCAAACGTTTATCTTGAGCTGAAGTCACAATGAGCACTTGAATGTCAAACAGTCAACTTTTTCCTCTGATTTAAATGAAAATCTGGGTTGTTTGATTTTACAAAAGTATTAAAAATAAAAGTGGATGTCATTGCGACTTGTGCTAACTATCTTCAACAGAATTTGGGTAACAAATCAAGGGTGAGACCTGGCTCCCTGGAGTTTGTTGTCATGTTTAGAGCCCCTGGAGGTATTTGGAGGTGAAAAGGTCACTGGGAACCACCCCATGTGCTGTGAAAGATTCCTCTTGTCACATTATGCAAGGGGACTTTGGTGAGACTATTAATGGAAGTGAATATAGAAGAGAATTCGCAAGAACATTCATATTTAGAACAATTTATTATATACATGTATTTTTTTTAAAACAAGGCAAATATTTAAAAGGGAGCACATAATGTATAAAAATTAAAAGTTTGAATCCAATAACCAGCATTTCTTTTTACATAAAAAGCTAATTAAACTCTTTTTTTTCATTTCATAAACTTTATTAAGCTAAAACAGTTGTTGTAAAAATACCCTGTAAATAAATAGTGCAAACAATGACACTGAGTAGTTCAGTGCTTCAACACAAAACAGCATGGGCTTATGATGAGAAGGCTACAAGTACAAAAGCGGATGAAAAAACATTTTTAAATGTTTCTCAGAATCCAATTCAGCAATAATCATTGCACTAGACACATACCCTGTAAACCTCACAAAGTCCACATGCCCTTTTCACAGTTTTTCTGGAATGGTGCGACTGAGGGAGAGAAGTGGAAAACTCCTCAGGCCTTTACAGTCATATAGTTTTTTTTAAAGTTACATCATGGTTTACTTTCTTTCCCTTTCCCCTTTGGAGAGGTTTCACTGCCAGAAAGTGTCTCTACAGGTGCTGCTCTGCTGACCAAAACGCAGCCCAGCTTCTCGCGTTTTTTCTGCTTCATCCTGCGGTTCTGAAACCAGATTTTCACCTGCGTCTCGTTGAGCTCCAGGCTCGCGGCGACCTCCACCCTCCGTGGCCGAGTCAGGTATTTGTTGAAGTGGAACTCTTTCTCCAGCTCGGTCAGCTGCTTGGTGGTGAAGTTGGTGCGGATCACGTTGAGCTGGCCGGGAACCCCGAACTCCGAAATGACAGCTGTGGAGAGAGATGGATGGATGATGATGGAGTGGAAAAACATGGAAATCATGACGCTGAGGCATAGATGTGAATGATACATGTGAGGATGAATAGAAAGATGAACGAAACATTAGTTGCCAAATACCTTTAAAGAACTATTTAGGTATTTATCAGTTAAATTGCGTTTTTACGCACTGTGAGTAGCCTACATTTCAGCTGAAAAACCATTGGGTCTCTAACTTCTAGCTCTAATTTTTCAAGTTGAACATACCTGTTTTAGGTGGATTCCTCTTCACTTTCATCCAGTCGAATGTTTTAGAAGCCTCCTCTACATGCTCCAAATCCTTCTCCCTGCTTTGGCTCGGTAACCTTGTGTAAACACTCTCTGGATACTCTGGCTGCCTCTGATCCCCGTTTCCAAAGTGTAGATACTGGCCGCCTGTTACAACCCCAGGCCCACAACTGTCCCCGGTGTAAGGAGCCATGTTTGTTCCGAGGGGGGAAACCTGCGAGTGGATGAAGCTCCGGTCCTGCTCGGGCGCCAGGCCGTACTGGTGATGTCCGTACTCCAGAGGTGACCCATACATAGTGTTCCCCGACGGGGTTGCAAACTGCAGATCCAGGTTGACGTTTGCTGCCTGGTGGTGCAGAGGGAGGCTCGGGGGCTGGTGTGGCGCAGAAGGAGCAGGAACTAACCGGCCGTCCGGTACGTAACTATCACTTGTTGCGCACGAGTTGGACGACATGTATCCATGGTTTAAATTGTGGTATCCGGCCTTGGCACTGAAAATATTCGCCCCCCTGTTACACACGGGGTAGTCTAAGTAGGAGTTCATCCTGGACTCTGCTTTGGCCTTTTGTTTGTTCACAACCGATCAAGACTGAGCAGTCATTAATCGCTGCTCCCTTTGCCCTAACCTTCTAGGTAGTATGTCAAAGCTGTAAAAGTGCCTACCACCCTCATATCACCTTCCTGACACACCATGTGACCCGCGAAACGCCAATGGCGAAGGACCTACAGCACTCTGTCAAGTCTGCAGGCTCGTCCATCAAACGGCTCGCATTTACATGACAAATGCTTCAATCAAACTCGCTCATCCATCTGATAAGAACACAAACATCAGGACACATTTTCAGACTAAGTGTTACAGAAGCTCTAAATGACAGTTATTATAATATGGATAAGTCTTCTAATGGCCTCCAAAGACAACAAAATAGAGCATTATGCATTATAATTAACATGAAAGTGAAAAAATGTAAATAGACTGTTGATTTAACCAAAACTAAATGCCACTAAAGGCGTACACAAGTAATAATACGACATTTAAATTATGAGTGTGAATTTTTCAAATAAATATCTTTAACATTTTATTTTATGGCTAATATGCTGTTTCAACACATTTTGTATCTGTTGGTTAGAAATTAAGCTTATTTTCTTTTAATTTTGGAAAGGACATTTCGACCTTAAAAACTCGCTGGGATTTTTTTCTAAACACACATATGGTCAAAAGGCGTTTTGGCTTATTACCATACATTTCTCCGGCCTCTCGTCAACAGGAATCCTGCAGACAGGCTCTGACTCAAAGGCAGTGCAGTGAATTCAGTGATCCATCATGCGCTCTTTTTACAGATTGACAGCCTGTGTGGCCCACTTTGCCCATAAAAGAACAAAAGACACATTTAAGAACCATACAGCCTTTTTTTTCTGGCGTCTCTCTAAAGACACCAAGAGACTATAATGTAATATCTTCCAAAAAACCTATCGTGTCCACACTCACCCGTAAGTACCCTGTAATTAAATAAGAGTGAATGTTATGTTATAGACCTCAAGTGCTAATTATCTTTAACAAAAAACTGTGAAAGTTGCCATTTATTCCAACACTTTGGTTGCTTTACAGTCGTCTTTTTGTATACTGGCTCTAAGAGGAGTATTTACTTAGGAGACTTTGGTGTAATCTCAACAAATTGCGTTTATTTATGTAGCTGAAATAACAGCCAACATTTAAATCAGGGCTGGATGTGTGAACAAAATATTTACAAAAAGCCCATGCGTAAACGTAACACAACATTTAATTAAAAATATAAATAGCACATAAGCCTATACAACACAAATAAATAAGACTCATATTTAAAATAATTCGTCCAATAATTCATATAAATAAATAAAAAGACAAGCTTCAGAACAGATCAGTGGATTATTTTATAAATCAAATGAAGAATGTTTTTGTGAAGAATGGAGGACATGTGTCTGCTACAGATGAGTCAGTTTAGGAGCTTGCATGATTCTGTCCTGAGTGCATCTATGTTGGAAATATGACCCGTTAATATCCTCATCTGGGTCTGTTGTGCGTGAGTCGGTGTGCGTGTCGTACTGCATGTTAAACTGCGGGCGGTGCGTAAAGCCTGGAGCGGGATATTTTGAGTATTCTTCCGGATACGCCGGCTGGGCCTGGTGTTGTTGGGACTTGAGCTGAGGGGAGGCCGGCTGGTAATCCCCGCCCAGATGGACATAACCCAGGCTCGACAGAGTGGGGCTGCCCGGGGCGGAGGGGGAGGACGGGGGAGAGCAGGAGGAGGTGAGGCCCTGCACCCGCTCGTCCTTCTTCTGCTTCATCCTCCGGTTCTGGAACCAAATCTTGATCTGCCTCTCGTGCAGGTTGAGCAGGCTGGCCATCTCCACGCGCCGCGGTTTGCACAGGTAGCGGCTGAAATGGAACTCCTTCTCCAACTCCACCAGTTGCGCGCTCGTGTACGCGGTGCGCGTCCTCTTGGAGGCCGGGGGCGCGCCTGGACACTTCTCTCCGACGCTGGTGCACTCTGTGGTGACAGGAAAATAAATGTTGAACTGGTTGTAATGACGAAGAGGTTTGTTTTTCTCTTTTGTTTTATTAATGATTTCCAGATCATTCTCAGTTTTTTTCTTTGCCTGCAGTCACTCAGTCTGCTCCTTATTTACTGTCAGTTTGCTGTTGTATTACTCGACTCTGTTGTTCAAAAAGCATGCATGATTCATCAATATAAGGTTAAATAAATAATAAGACAAAAAACATAATACAAATCCACAATCACAGGGTGAGAAAGAAAGGTAAATGATAGCCAGAAACCAAACAAAAATCAGGTAAGCCATGGTTGTTTACAAGGGACAGAGGTTGTGGTGTAGCTAAAGATTTGGTGCGTATTGTTGCTAAGATTAGTCGACTAATCGATTAGTTGTTTATAATATTTTTATTTAAAAACATCAGAAAATGCTGTTGTCACCCTCCCAGATTTCCCACGTTTTCCTGTTTTATATCACCTTAAAGTGAATATTTTGGGCTCATAGACCGACAAAATAAGACATCTAAAGACACCATCTTGGACTTGAAACCTGAAAATGGGATAGACATTAATCTTTTGTTTCTGCCATTTTACAGACCAAACGATTAATCCTTGATCTGGACATTCATTTCCAGATAAATCGATAGTAAAAATAATTGTTACTTGCAGCCATAAGATGACAGGATAGGGAGAGGAGGAATCTCAGATATTTCAAAAATGGTGAGCAATGGATCATTAGCTGACGAAAGTGGTAAGGGGTGGATATTGGACAGATTTATCATTTTTATTTGAATCTAAATTTAGATTAGGAGATTGTAAAGGCCTCCATCACCAGCCTGCTTTAAAGGGACTGATTATTATTCCGCCTTATATAAAGTAAATTATATTTTAAGAGAATGTGAGCTACATATTTTTTATTTAACCCCAATTTTGTATTAGTTTTACTGTGCCCTTTAATTTTTCATTACATACAGTTCTGTTTTTTCTGTTTTGCTTAATAAATGGGGTGAATGAATATGTGGTTAGGATTCTGATTAATATAATGTAAGCTTAATAACTAAACTAATGTGTTTGTCCTCGACTGTATAGCTTCATAGGCACCTGACCTTTTGAACCTGAAGAGGAGAAAATATAAATTAATTTCCCCCATTAAATGTATGAGAGCTCGTTAAAGGGACATAGATGAAAAGGCCTCAATTGGAAACAAATGCTGTCTCTTCTTCCACTCATACAGACCTGCGATTCTCCTGTCGTGTTTCTGATTGGAGGGTCTGGACTCTTTCATCCAGGGGAAAATCTTTTTGCTCACAGGAAACTTTTGCAGTTTGGATCTTCTGCGCTCAAACGTCTCCACTTGCCCCAGTTGTTGTTGTTGTTGTTGTTGTTGTTGTTGTTGTTGTGCGGCTGTGCACCCGAACCCGCCGACAGCCTCCAGAGACTCGCTGAAGAAGAGGTCGTCTTGATGCTGCTGGATGTTTTGTGTCGCCCTGCCTTTCTGCATTTTTCCATTAAATGTGCACCGGGGCCCCCTTTGACCTTCTGACGCAGCGCTGGCAGCCAAATGTCACATGGCAGGTTTCCAGAGAGCCCTGCAGCTTCTGGCCTGAGAGGATCCAGAAAAAAGACGGAAGAAAATCAGGGAGGAGACCACATGATCCATCTTATCAACTCAATAGTAGGCTGACATGAATAGCGAGCCTTCCGTGGCCTGAGAGGCACATTAAATAAGAGTTTGGTGAAAATACACCCTGAGAAAAAACACCAATAAGAGAAAAGTCTTTACAATTTGTAAAGAAATTAAACATTGTCTTTATATTTTCCCCCTAACACTAATTCAGAATGCACTGGCCTACAACCAGTTTTCCTTAATTTTTGTATTGTGTTGTAATGCAGATAAAATAAGCCCAAAAAAATAAGATTTCAGTTTATTAAAACGAGATTAGTTAGGGGGATTTCTGTTTATCTTTTAAAATAGTGAGATATTAAGGGTACCAAAAACAAATATGCACATGAATTAGTCTAAGGATAAAAACACAGACATAAATAGGCCCACCAAAATAAATTATATTCTATTATAAATTCGTAAAATATTAGTTTTACTAGTTTATATATTGTATATATATATATATATATATATGTTTGTGCTTTCTCAAATTAGATTAGATGAGAATAAAGAAATAACAACCTTTATCATCTTAATGCATGATCCTGTCGGCAAGTATTTTTTAAAGGGACATTTTTTTAAAGATCTTATCACAATCTACTAAAAATCTCATCAATCTCCATCAAACACAAAATAATACAGACGTCCATTGTGCGCCGTGTTCGGCCGTGTTTCTGCGCCAAAACGCGAAATAAAGGAACAAAACACATCTGATTCAAAATCTTAATCAAACGCAATTCAACGCAACATAATTACTAATACGCAGGAGTTTCGGTGGCTGCGACAGAGGCACTGAGAGAGAATAAAGTCTGGAGGCATGCAGCTTTATGAACTCTGGGTGAACCGCGGCTTGGAGTCAGGCTCGTAAATCATAAAGACACATAACCCAGTCCGCGGCACAACACCCGGCTGCCTTACCTCCACAAACTACATTCATCCGGCACTGAAACAATGCTCCCCGCAAACAAACACACACCAGCTTTCTCTTGTTCTCACCTTTCTTTCCTTTTTCCTTGATAACCTCCCCAGATTCGAATAATCCTGCAGAGAAAGCAGCGGCTCTCTGCTCGCATTAGATGATGATGATGTGGCTTTGGATGCCAGTGGGGTGAAGCAGAGTGGACAGTGTTCCTGCAGCTCACACCGCCCTGCATAGCACACAATGTCAGCCTGTGTGTGTGGGAGTGTGTGTGTGCGGGGGAGAAAAACCTTTCTGCTGATCATGCAAGCTCATATATGGAAATAGCATGGCTGTAATAAAGAGACGCTTTTCTATATGGTGAAATGGCAATTATAGCAAGGTGGCCAAAAAAGGCTGAATATGTTTGCCTTTAAAGCGCATTTTAAGTAGATTTAGATAAGGGAAATTGTCTGTTAAAAAAATGCCTCCCACTATCTTAAAAAAACCTGCTATATTAAGTTGTATTTTCCCAGTTGTGTGAACATACAAACATCTCTATTTTCGTCCTGGGAACTCGTCCAGAGCTGTTATAATAAATTCAAACATCCCCTTTAGGAGCTATGCCAGCAGATGCAATAAATTACTCCGGCAAAGAAAAGCGATCAGTATTTAGTCTGGATTTTTTTTTTTTATTACACATACAAAGTGCATTACGTCTCCTTTGTGTAATGAGATTTTTTTTTGTTTTCTAATTTAAATGAGTGAGTCATTTTGAAGCAGTGAAGGGGAGACAGACAGTGGTCAGCAGCAGCGTCCATTAAAAAGCTGGTTCTGTAATGAGGCCTTGGTTTGTTTTACACGGTGACCATCAGACTGCTGCAGAGCATCGATCTGTCGGAGCTTTGATGTCTCATCTTCATGTTTTGCTCGATCGCTTGGATTGGCTCTGAAAGGTAATATTTAACTGAGTGGCGTTAATTAATGCTAATGAACATCTTTGATCTGTGAGCCGTGCACACAGAAACATTTGAATATAGAGTGACCAGATCTGTTTCAAAGTTTTACACGAGCTCCATGCTGCAGCTGCACCATGAGATCTAACTTTAAAAACAAATGATTAAAATGTCTCAATGCCACTTTATTAGGTATACTGGCCAGTGGTGTACACAAGTATTTATGGTACTTTTACTTTACTTGAGTATTTCCATTTCCTGTTACTGTATTCTTATACTCCATTACAATTCAGATGCAAGTATTATACTTTTTACTCCACTATCTATTGGACGGATTACCCTTAACATTTATAATAAACATCTGATATATGATATTATGCAGTCCTATAATACTAATGACATACAGTATCTCAAATTGGCTCCAAAAAGATAAACATGCAACATTGATGTAATACTGATTATAGTTCAAAGATGTGTCTGAATTGGGCCATTCTGCACATTGAGTTGTTTTACTTTTAGTACTTTAGCTACACTTTAAGTAATATTTTGAATCAGGTCTGTATTTGTACACTGTGCCCTTTGACTTCTTGCATAACTAATGCAAATAATCCAATGCAAAAATACATTATCAGTTAAAGGTCCACTTACTGGACATTTCCTTTTTCTAAAGCAGTCACATATTGTAGGTTTTGATTGGAGTAAACAGCAAAGACAACTGAGCTTCCTGGTGATGAAAACGCAGTGTACATAATAATCTGACATGCACTGGTAGAATGTATCAATAACAACAACTACAGTGTGCCACTTTGACTTACTTTGACTGTACTTGAGTATTTCCATCTTACGCTATACTTCTACTCCACTACAGTTCAGTTTGAATGACATTTTCATTTATTGTTACAGATTCGTTTTTAAAATTAAAAACAAATAATGGCCTATATGATATTATGCAGAACTACATCGAACCAGTAGTGTCTCAAATTGGCTCCACAATGATTAACTGCAACATTAAAATGTATTTGTTGGTGGGATTTGTTGTTGGTAATACAATATATTATAAATCTGCAGAACAAATACTTGTAGTCATGATATAGGAACATTTTGCTGATTATGCTTCTGCAGTAGTGGACTGTAAGTAAATGTACTCAAGTACTGTACAATTTTAAGCTGCTTGCGAGTATTTTGTAGTTTCTGCAATAGATTTCTATTTCTATTGTATTGTGTATTTCTACCCGAATATATTTATTTGTTCTCTTATAACAGTATAAATCAAAGTTCACCTTTACCAGGTGCAACATTAAATCAATAAACACATTAATGAATTACAAGCTAATAATAAAACATATATAACAAAAGGCTTCAAGAATGTACTTTATCTAGTACTATTACTCTTGGTATATTTGCATGCTAGTATTTTGGTACTTTTACTTGAGTAACATTTTAAATGCTAGAGTAACCCCTTGCACACGTACATGTGACATAAATCTCTCTGATAGGCTAAAAGAGCCATGTGAATACAAAGAAAATCAGCATTAAGTGCGGTGTCTTAAAACTGTCTAAATGGTGCAGTGATGTATGGGGCAGCGGAGGAGAAGATGCAGACTGATATGATAAGTCAGTGTACAGTATAAATATAAATTCATGTTGGATCCCTGCGGCCTGCAGCGGCTGACAGTTATTATTCAGATATGACAACATCCCTGAGCTGCACTTTACATCCCATCTTCATCACCCCAGCGAGCTCCACACTCTTCAGCCTGCCTGTCTAATCTGTGATGGACACGTACACCCCCACCCTCGTCCTCGCCCCACAGCCCCCCACTACCTCCTCAGCCCTCACCCAGCCTTTCAGTGTGCAGGCCTGCTGACAAAGCTCTTGTCAATTAGCTGCAGGAACCACGTGTCCACAAGGAGGATGTATGCCTCTGAATTCATTCATGGACAGTTGAATCAACAGTAGGAGCAATGTCCCACAGCTCAACAACACAGCAAATTAAAAAAGACACTCTAGACTTTAAACAAATATGGGTTTAAAGGGCAAAAAAAGTTACATTTAAAAGTTACTTTGCGAAATGAAAGTCATAAATAAACTACATTTGAAGGGAGCTTTAATGTGAGGCCTGTACAACTCTACTTTATTTAGTAATTATAAGCATTGGTTTAGTACCAAAACTGTAATATCTGCTTTATAACAAATGATTTATCAGCAGATGTAATTGTTTATTTAAGAATACTGTATGTCATCAACTGTAAGTGTATAAACATAATGAATGATAATAAATGCACAGTTGTAATACTAGCCTAAGTTATAATAATATATAAATACTGTTAATTATTAACACTTCATTGAGTTATACATGCTTACAGTAAAGCGTGACCTACATCCACCTAAGTGATTATTCCCTCTCACACACACACACACACACACACACACACACACACACACATAGCCAATTAAACATATATAATTCAAAGAGCTTACTTTTCTCTTTGGATCTCATCTTCTCAGATTCTCCGTCCTGTGTGTTGGCTTGGAGCAGTTTGTTGGGATCCTCCTCACATTTCCCTGGAAAACTAAAACTCCTCCTCGACCATACAGGCGGTGCAGGCAGTGAAAAGAAGATAAATGATGTGCCGAACAATGGCCCACATTCAAGGGCCCGTCCTGCAACTCTCACAGATGTCATATTCTCCAGCAATGTGCTGCTAGAAGAGAAAAAAAGAAACATAAGAGACTCAACATTTTGTATGGACTCTGGTGAGGGGCCTGCAGGACTCCAGGCACAAAAACAGCACACATTTCCCACCACGTCTAACATGCCATACAGTGATTATTGCCAACATTAAATAGCATTTCCTTTGTCTTTAAATGATGATTATGTTCCGCTCGAGGTGAAGTGTCATCACCTACATACTCCCCAAGAAGCGAATTTGTGGCTGCTGCTATTTTTACACAAATTCGGATCTACAGGGTATATATAGGTGACAGGTGGTCAGCACAGGAGGAGCTGCAGCTTCTCATTTAATATCACACATTTGAAACCAGCACACTCGATTCAAGGAATTTAGAGCTTTTAAATGTCATCTTATCTCTCTCAACTTTAACGAGACAGCCCTTATAAAGAGTTTATAACATACTATTAACAGCTTTATTAATGGTTAGTTAAACATGTATGTGTTACAAGAAGAGTAGAAACATTTTGTGTTTCCAGTTTTTGAAAAAAGTAGTGGTGGTTATCCTTCTCAATTTGGTTATAATAATAAGCTCATAGGGTTATGACTGCCTAATAAGCCATAAATCTGTCATTATGAATGTTAATACAATCATTAATACGTTTTTCTTTTTTAAATTTTAAAAGTCCTCAATAAAGGAGTTTATTAAATTAAGTCTGCATTTAATAATGTGAATAAGCCGTTAATAAAGAAGTACAATTATTCATTTCTGCACTAATAAATGTTATTAAGTCTAAATAAAAGGTAACAATCTGAGGTACAATATTAGGTTCACCACCTAAAAGGTTTTTATTTATGGCCTTTAGCAAACCTTAAGAATACTTGGTCATGGTTTATTACCCAATAAATAAGTTTTTGTTGACAGCTTTTTGGTGATAGTTATTAAAAACATGTTATATCCCATATCTCAGTATGCTAGGGGTTTATGGTCTTTAACCTTGTTGGTCATATAAACTGAGTGTTGTCTCCCGTTAAGCTCACAGTGCAGGAAGAAATACTCAGATCCTTTACTTAAGCAAATCATGTCAAAATCCACTATTAAAGTATTGCATTCCAAATCTTAAGTAATGATTTTCAACTAAATAAATACTCCAGTATTCCACAGAAGAATGTACCAGGGATATATGAAGACATCAAACATACTAGTTTCTTTGCATGAATGTTATTGCAGCATGTTAATGTTGGAGCTGCTCAATGGAGCTGGTTGGAATACCTTTTACCCAGTGGTTCTCAACCTAGGGGTCGGGCCCCTCCAAAGGGTCACCAGATAAATCTGAGGGGTCATGAGAAGTTGAACTGATGAGGAAGAAGAAAAAACAAGTCCTGTTACACAAACGTATATTTATATTCTGTTCATTTATATGAAATGTTACATTACCTGACCTTGTTTGAACAGTTATTAAGTTGGAAGGGGACTGCTAACACCATGGACATTTGTTAACTGGTCTTAAAACAAAAAAGATAGGAACCACTCGTTCATTTGTTTACATTGCACTTGAAATAGATCCTCTTTTCAAGAGTAAAATCAGGTGGGGAAATTCTCAAGAAAAAAAAACCAACTTGTTACACCGCTTCTTTCCAGTCTAACAAAGTGAGAGAAAAACAGTTTAAGTGAACAAATTACATCCGTGCACTCAATATAATAATAAGTGCAACAAAATAAGAGAACAAAATATATTTATGTTTGTTAAAAAAGCCTCATCTAAGACATACTATGATACAAAATACTGTTTTCTTCATCCACATCTTTCTGTGCCATGGAACTCTATTCTAGTGTCAACTAAAAGCGAAAAAACAAATCAATAGCTCAGGTATGATTGTTTACATATCATTATGAGGCTGAACTCCAAACAAAGAGACAAGGAACAAATAGGTTCCATTCTCAGCCAAGAGTGCAGGATTAAAGGTTAGTAATAAAGAGATGATGACTGCTGAACAGGCTCACACTGGTGTTTCTGTGTTGTGCTCTGTAACCTCCATGGCTCTAATGATAGCAGCCTGAGCAGAGAAACCCATCCATCATCCACCTGCTCGGTCTGAGGCGCCCTCTGCTGGCAAAACCCCCGCACTGCACCTGCAAACAGCTCAATGCATGCACTGCCAGATGTTGGGCATCCATGACACGAGAAACTGGCCTCACAAAATAAACAACCAAGGTGACATTTGTCTCTAGCGAATTCCATTATTATGATCTAATGAATGCATTCATTTCCACGTGAGAAGTAGTCTATTCAAAAAATGTTATTGGCAATAAGTTATTTTATGTAACAAGAAAAAACACATTCTTTGTCCATTATATTTATTTGTATATAACTGATTTTTAAATGTATTGTTTACACTAATTGAGTTGAAACAGAAGCTGCATTAGTAAACAGTGATAACACATATTTTATATTATAGACAGAACCCATAAGCGATTTAAAATAGTGTGTGTGATGCATTATGGTGCCTTTTTATTTACTATAATAGTAAATAATCAGTAATTTAATATGTACAATAAATAATAGGACAACATACAGTATATGCACCACTTTGTATACATGTGTTCAAACTATAAATAAAGTCAGAGCAGAGAAAAAATAAATTCTGGTAATTTTACGCATTGTGTTTGCAGTGATTTTCACCCAAAACCTATCTAGTCTATAGAATTTTGAATATAACAGGAATTTAAAAAAAGATTGAAGTACATTCTCTTTTGTGCAAAACACAGGCTTTTTCCCTCTCGGTGGTGACAGTGCAAAGTATGGCAGCAGAGCTTCCTGCAGTCCGTCTACTGACCCAGCGATGATCCCCGCCGCCATGAATTATGCATGAGATCCGGCTACAGATTACCCCTATCAATATGCAATACTCATTACGCTGGTTAAATTGCCACTTAATAGTTATGAATATGTGGAAAATGTCTGGGACCCATATAGCCCACCACTGGTTTTTAACTTTTTTTTCTTTTTTACATGAAATGAGTTTGCACAAGTTTCACACAACCTTTCGTTTCCTGGCGATAATATCATTAGTTTTTATTAGTCAAATACATATAAGCACACACATGGACATTTCTTTATGTTAAATCAGTGAAGCTTGTGTCCAGCTCTGGGGTGTCCGAGACTTCACCTTTGGCCGCTCGGTGACTCGACACTTCGGGATAAATCACTGCTGGACTCGCTCAAGTTCGCTGCGTGTCAGCTGCATAAAAGCCAACAGTTTCAGCCTTAAATACAAATTATTGGGTTCTTTTTATTCTGCAGAACATTTTGTCCTTTGGAATGTAATGGCGTGTTCCATTATTTATTTTAAACAAGAAACTTTAAAGTAGGATATTGCTTTACACAAAAGAGGCCTTTAAAGCCTTTGTTTCCAAACATTTTCCAATAAGTTTGTTGAAAATATTGGAATTGTCTAATGATTTTTTTTCTTCTTCGTGTAGATGTGTTGAAGAAATCAGGATTTTTTTTTTTCCTAATAGTTTCAGATTTTTTAAATGTTAAATTAAGAGATATTTAACACACTTCAAAAATACAATTATAGCAGCCACACTATTTGTATAGTATTATTTCCCAAGTTTTTCCAGCAGCCTAAACTACCTAAACACAACTGGACACTTCCTCCCCTGTCCAGCCTTTCCAGTCCCATCCATGCAGTTAAGCCGTCACTTTCATTCAAGGTTGTGAATTATATAGTACATTGTCTACTCCCCAAAACCATAAAACCAACTTTATGGACCTCACGTGACTTTTCACAGTCTGTAAGTAATATAGGTCTATACAATCTTTGGTAAGGGGGATTTTTACCAACTTCAGCCTGGCCTATATGCCTGTAAACCAAAGCTTTTGGGGGATTTTATCAGCAGCATATTCCCCACATGGCAAACACGCATCTCGCTGCAGAAGAGTCAGAGGAGGTAAGTTTGAAAAAAGTTAGATATTTAAGTTTTTGTGTCACTTGGTGTGTGCTACAAAGAGACAAAATCTCCTCTAAAATGTGTATTGTTCGTGTGACACATTTATAATTCTCACAAGTTAATCATTAAGTTAAATTCGGGTCAGAAAAAGTTGTTACGCAGCTGCTTAAAAAACAAAAAATGGTGTGACTTACATGTGTTTTTATTCTAATTGATAATAAAGTCTAGACAAGCAATTTGAATTGAGAAACGTTTATTTCCAAGCGCTATGAGTTCACTTACAAATACAAAAAGCTTATTGGCGAAAAAAGCTTACATCACTTGCCTATCCACAGAATAACCCTTTGCACAAAAAATTGATCACATTGACAGGTTGAATACATTTGCATTGCTCAATAATTATCCTAAACAATAATAATAATAATAATAATAATAATAACAACAATAAGCGTTGCACAAAATATTCCTAAAGCTACACAATTGGCTTGAATGGATGTTGGCCACAAGATCAAAAATAGCAGTAAAACGTACACTAAAGCGCTTTGAATGGCCCCGGAATACATTAGGTTTACATTCAATGAAGAGCAGCATATGGTTTGGAAACTTCTTTTTTTTTTTAACTGTACAATGAATTTACTCCTGTTAGACCGTCAAGAAGTCACAATAAAGAGCTCAAGTTGAAACACCTTCAAGAAAGAGTGAGGAGGGAGGGAATGATAGATAGAAAGAGAGACAGAGAGACAATTAATACCCCCAATAATATTTACATCTTATTTTCCACATCTAAGCTATATCATAGTACAACAAAAGAACTAAAAATGGCATTTTTTAAAGACCACAGGATACTTATTTTTCTATCACAATAGCATGCTGAAAGGTGCTGCGCTTCCAAATAGCTTTACAGTACTCATGGATTCTTTTTTTATCATTTATTTTTTCTGAATTATTATTATTATAATTATTTTTTGTTTTACCTTCCCCCCAAAAAAGTTATTCAGTTGTGGAAGGCGCTGCCTCCTGTCACCAGACTCATGCTTTTCAGTTTATTGTCCTTCTTCCACTTCATCCTGCGGTTCTGAAACCATATTTTGATCTGTCTTTCGGAAAGACACAGGGCGTGGGCTATCTCTATCCTCCGCCGCCTGGTTAGGTACCTATTGAAGTGAAACTCTTTCTCCAGCTCTAGCGTCTGGTACCGGGTGTACGCGGTTCGGGCCCTTTTCCCATCCGGTCCAGTCATATCTACAATTTTTACAGAAAAGCCACACAGTTAGCAACTGCACTGCAACAACAACAGAGGGTCTTTAAATGTGGCTTCACCATGAGGATGCACAGAAGGGTCACAAGATGGGATGATGCAGAGGAAGCATGCAACCAACACGACACTTTACACACTTAACTGTGCATTTCTTATGTCAAAAGAGCAGCCTGCACACATTTGAACATCCTCTCTCATACCTGCACCCCCGTGTTACAAATACTGTCCTTTTCTCAATCATCCACACCAACCAGCTCACTCATGCAACACTTGACAGATTTACGATCAGCGTGACAACCTTCCAAACTAAATATTATTTAGAGGCAGTAAAAAATTACCATGGTTTATGTGCAGTTTCCTCATCCAGGGGAATATTTGTGGGGATTGGCAATCATTTGACGTGGGAGTGGAAGAGGTGGCGTTGGGGTCCTGGTGCTGCTGCGCCCGAGGAGCCGAGCTGGAGCCCCCGCTGCTGTGCGCGCCCTCCTCGGTCTCAGAAGCGACCGTGGCGTCCTCTATCTCCGTGAAATGAGCGTTGTTGTTTTTGTTGAGGTTGTTACCGCTGGAGGTCGAGCTCCGGTCAGATGGAGGAGAGGGGCTTTTTAGTTCCAGCTGCTCCCGGCTGGCCGTGGCGCACGACGGCGGCACCGGATCTGGAGACGAGAGCGAGCAGTTGGGAGTCTGTCTGTAGCGGGCGTCCGGCTCGAATCCCCGGGCATCCTCTCTCACCGCACCGAAGTGGCCGCCGTTGTTGGTGCGGTTCACGGTTAGGTCCATGCCATTGTAGTTGTAGCCGAAAGACCCGGAGTGCATGGTGCCAGGGTCTCTGAAGGAGCCGTTCACAGCGCCGTTAGTCCCATAATTTAGTAACTGATAGTCGGAGCCATTTGGATAGCGCCCTGAGAACGAGTTTACAAAGTAAGAGCTCATTTGCTTGGATTTTTAAAGCCTCGATTTGTAGATCTTTGTCGCTATAATCCTGTGTGCTTGCACGATTTATGGATGCAATCATGAATTATAAGCAATGAAGCCCTACTGTACTTTGCCAGGTATGCGGCCAAATATGGGAGAGCGTTCGGGAATCACGTGCCTTTGTTGACCAGTCGTAAATCCTCACTGATGACTTCAAGAGGTAATTCATGCTCCATGGTTACAAATGATGACGAAATAATGGTCGTTAGGCTCCAGTCAATGGTGCCTCCCCGCTGCGCCCCGAGAGCCGCGCAGGCAGAGAGCGCCATCTTGCGGACAGAGGAGGTATCACTCCACCAGGACGCGCTGTCAGGCCCTAAAGTCATCCATCATTTATGTAACGCGCTCATAATATAGGCCACAAAAGGCTCAGGTAACACATAACAAAGACTTATCAGCCACACGGCCGTAGAGAGTGTCAAACTGGAAATTATTTTAATCTTTACGCAGGTTTTATGTGTACATGAGGGCTTATGTTATAGCTTATTGTGACTACAGGAGCAGTTAAGCGCCCGATAATAACAATGCCATGCCTTTCTAGTTATAATAACAATAAGTGTCGTTTTCCATATGTATAAATGACGCCACAAGATTTTCCAATATACATCAAAAAGCCTTTATTTCTATGTACAATTTCCTAAACAAAATATTGCACACAATATCCAGATGTGCATTGACCACAAGGTGAACGACAATAAATAACATGTAACATTTTTTTGTATCTGTACAAATGTTAAGTGTTGATGGCACAGCTGTAAACAGCAAGACTATTATTATTATTAGAAGTATTATTATTATTATTATTATTATAGGACAACTAACACCACAAGATGTACAATGAAGGACCAAAGCTTCTTTTAATGTCATACAAATAATAATAAAACTCAGTAGGCCTACGATAATGAGGTAACAACATTGTCAAAAACTAAAACACTAAAAAAGTATTTACATTTTGGCGGGTTTTGAATAGTCCCCTAAATAAACACGAGCACAAGGACAAACAGAGGAGGACCTGATGGCAACCTAATGCAGACATTATCACCGTGCAGAAACTGAAATACAGTCTATCACCCTACACGTCTCTAACATGGGATTTGCAGCACTTTATCTACAAAGAAATACATTTTTATTTGTAGGAGGGTGTCCTTTAGCTCTTCTTCTCCGCCTGTTCCTCCTCCTCGGGTGTCTTTGAGGGGTTCAGGAGTTTGTTCTCCTTTTTCCACTTCATCCTGCGGTTCTGAAACCAGATTTTGATCTGTCTCTCCGTCAGACACAGGGCGTGGGAGATCTCTATCCGGCGCCTCCTGGTCAGGTAGCGGTTAAAGTGGAACTCCTTCTCCAGCTCCAGAGTCTGGTAGCGGGTGTAGGTCTGTCGGCCCCTGCGGCCACTGTTGCCAAATGGACCTGGAAGACAAAAATAATGGAATAAAATCATGAATTAATTATGAAACGTCTGCTTTAAGTGAATTTCGAAAGTATAGGAGAGACATCTACCTGAGAATGCTGAAATCTGTAGTGGTGTGTCTGAAAGAATACAATAAAGTGGTATTTCAGATATTTGGTGTATTTCAACTCAAAACAACAGGCTTTTAACATTGAAATATAATAGTTTGTTGTGAAATTAGTGGGAAAATATAAAATAAATAATTAACTTTACTTTATTGTAGGATTTTTTAAATTTTCTCCTACAAACAGCCCACTACATTTTACCAAGATCACATGATGTAACGCAGAGAGAACTCAAAGGATTATATTCCTTTACACAAATATAATAACTATATTTTAACATAACACGTCTTAATAATACACATAAGACGCTTTATAGAGGCTTTAAAATGATATTTACAAATGTTTTACTTTAAAATAACCTAAATGATGTCATCACTATATAAGCTACTCTGGGTTGTAGCCTTTATTGTGTGAACTGCGTTGTGCGTAAAAGTGCCCTGACGGTGTATTTTCTCCCTTACTGCAGCAGTGTATTGGTCTATAAAATTACAGTAAGGATGTACAGTCAGAGTGAAACTGCGCAGTGAGGAACAACACGCATAAAACGTCACGTTTTATTTTTTAGATGTACTCTTAATTTTTGTATTGGACATTTAATCGCTGCTAGAAGTGTTTCTGCGATATTTAGTATCCCTCTAAAAATGAAAAAAGGCCCATTCCGAAGATGCCATGTGACACTTAGCTTTAAGTTGGAGCTCCGCTTGTGTAGGCCAAGTCTGTGTGGACGTGCGTGTGTGTGCGCGTGCCGTAGTGTATGTATGTGATGATGATGTAGCAGCCAAAGCCCTGAAGGCGCACAAAGATCCGTGCGCAATCACAATAATATCACTTTGGGCTCAGTAATGGCGTAATTATTTGATGTTTCTAAGTTGATTACATATTAGCGTGAGCTTGGAGCTCGCATACAGCTGACAGGTGACTTTGTGCGGCTCGGGATGCTCGCTCCATCACGCGGAGAGCTTTTACCTCCAGGCTGCGTGTCAACAACAGAGTTTGTACTCACCGGCGGAGCAGGCGTTCATCCTCTGCATCCACGGGTAGATGAGGGTGGAGGACTTGTCGTCGATGCTGCTGCCGCTCATGCTGACAGTGTGCTCCGAGCAATCCACTTTGCGCTGCTCCTGCGTGACAAACAGCGGCTGGTCGTCGCGGTGACTCGAGAAAGCGCACGAGCCATCCGCGTCCTTGTAGAAAGTCCCGACCGGGTTGTAGTCGCAGGGCGCTCCGCCGCCGGCCCTCCCGTAGATGGCCGCGGCAGCTGCGCCCGTCTGCTGGTAGTAGGAAGCCGGGTAAACCTTCTCCTGCATGTTGGCTGCTCCATATGTGGCCGCGTTGGAGTAGTGTCTTAACTGATCGGTGTATCCCGAGGAATATAACGGTATCTGACCCAGGAGAGAGTCCTGTCCTCCCGGCAGAGACACGGGAAAAGTTGAGTTAACAAAATAGGAACTCATTGGGTGGACAACGGGGTGTATATACTCCGGAGGAATATGATTTGTTGTCTTTTATAGTCCAAGTGGTTTTGCCATTACTTTATCCGAGATTTGGTTTTTGCTGAAAGGGGGGGTTGTGAGGTGCCACTGAATACAGAGGGGAAGTGTACCATCTGATCAACCGCTGGCCAATCACCGCCGTCTGTGTTTGCACTATTGCACCCATGGGGGGCTCTTGTTGCGCGCAGGGGTCCCCGATGAATCGAAATGAAGCGCTCGAGCCTATCTGTCTTTACGCACGCTCACGCACACAGAGAAGCAGCTCATAGAAATACACTTTAAAAAAACATGCTACATTTTGAACAATTAGTGGAATAACTTTTCGTTTTATGCAAATAAAGCCCGATAAAGCAGATGGACTCCACTCTATTATAAACTAGCACGCGTGTAAAAACTCCCCCTTTCTCTCTTGCACGCACACAAACACAATGCAAAAAAAAATTACTTTGCGCATTATTTATATTTGCGCACAAATGACTGGCTCTCTCCTCCTCTTCCTCTAACATTCACTTCCATCTTGTTAAATGATTTAATAATTAATAAACCAATCAAACACTGTATCCTTAAGGCAGCAGCCACATTTCACAATAATCCGTGTGAATTAATCCAAATGATGCAAAGACAAAAATAGTGCGTCAATAATGTTTGTTTTTTCACTCATTAAAAAAAAGGTGTGAGCTCTTCCTGATTTCTGATTCAACACCAGCTGTGACTGAAGTCCACGCAGACGTGCAGAGGACACGAGGGAGGACACGCGTTTGCACACTGATCATCATCACCTTCATCGTCATCATCATCTTCACCCACCGTGATCAAGTGGGAACTAGTTTCTCATTTATTTCTTAAACTGTGTGAGTATAAATGTGAGAATTCAGCCTGGGTGATGATTAAGTTCCAATTAATAGATGTGTTTACAAATAGTTAAGAAAATCAATTAGGCCTAGTTACTTTAAGTGTATTATTATTAATATCATTTGTATTATGTTATTAACGTTACTTTTAGTAGCTGTTTACAATGGTATCCTCATTATTGATCAATTAAGTAATATTACTTGCTTATTATTATTAATAACCTTCATATTTAGTGGTGTGTTCTGCTGTTAAAGCCTTATTATGGCCTTCTTAATAAGAAGAGTTTACAGTCCTTCCTTTAAAAACACATTTGTGAATTTGTTAAAGTTGTTATAATTTACATTTATGATTTTTTCCTAATTCATAAAGATAATTTCCTGATTTTTACATAGCTTTAGCTTTGATAAAACACACCCTATTAAATAATACATCATTGAAAATAACGAAAAAAAGCACTGTGTTGCTGGAATAATGTGACTCTTTATTGTTTTTCATTATTTTGAATTCATTAGGAAGAAAAATAAATATTTGATGCATATTAGCTCATTAACAATCCTGATTTTCACTCTGCTGTTGCTTTAGATGCAGAACGCTGCTGATGTTTGTTTTATTTTTGATAATATCCATTTATAAATCATTTGGGATTTTAATGTTTAAATTAAATAATATCATTATTTGGCTACAGTCAGTGAACGCCTCTCCACAGGCCGCAGCCTGACAGCTGCTGCAATTGGGCAAATAAACAAAAAAACAAACAAAAAACACACCCACTAATTATACAACTGCTCTGTCAGAAAGACACACATGCAGTCATATATTTCTACAGGATCACATGGCGTTATATAAGCTCTCATTAAACTGCAGGATCAAACACGACAACACAGAGAAGGGCTGCAGAGGCGCCGGAAATCAGATTCAATGTTTAAAATGCTCATTATTGTTCATAAATTCATGCAAAATGACAAATTGGCCTCTAAAGAGCAAATAGAAGTCCAAAATGATACGGTATTTAGATAAAAAGAGGCGAAACAGCTAGATTCGGCAGCGAAATATCCACTTCTACCACTGTTTTCAAAATATAGCAATAAAAGAAGGCAATATAAAATGACATAAAATAGGAGTAATTCTTCTAGGCGAGTAAAGCGTGGATAGATAAAGCAGATTTTTAAGAAAAGCGTGAATCGGCGGTATCATACAGGGCCTATATGACCATCATCACCATCATCATCGCCACCACCATCATCAAAGTCAAGCCTGTCTGTTTTACAGAAGCCACTCCTGATTATATAACATTTTAAATCTTCAAAAGGCCTCACATTTGCAACATGCAGGTTTATTTGCACACATTTTATCGCACAAATATCGCTCTGGCTCCAGCATGTAACGGGTTACACAGCCAGATCAGCAACTGGTTGTGAATACCACACAGCGTACGGAAGCACCGAAGAAGATTCTTTTGGATAATTGCCATTTCTTAAAGACTGATCTTCCCATTTGCAGTAATATAAACAGCAGGCCTACAGTGACAGTCCAGCCACAACAGAGCAGCAGCGGCGCACTTGTGTGGAGATAATCGCTGGCATATTAGAAACATGGTGCCCTTACCTTTGTTGATAATCCATCATTTCCAGTGTGGCTGCCACTCCGCGCAAAACTCCTCTCTCCTCCTCTCAAGTATTTTCCCCCACGAATCCCCTACTTTGTTCAAGTGATTTCATGGAAATAATCCCACCATCCAGGGCTGTGATGATCCCTCATTTCCCCCCGACCATATACTGTAGCTACACAAGTATAGGCTACAGCCACATTAACATGGCGCACATAGCTCCTTCCGTCAATTTTTGGTAAAAATACGCACGTCTCACAACAAAACTGCGTACGCGTGTAGCATAAACAAAGAGCCAAGAAAAAGGTTGTGTTACTAGTGTTAAGTGAATGAGCGGTGGAAAACAGCAGCTGCAATATAACCTCATGGGAAATAAGTTCCCATTCTGCTGTCCACATGACCGCCAGCGACCAATCCCCGAGCCAGGCGCGTCGTAAACTTCCAAGGCAAAGTTGTAAATTTTCATAAACAGCAGCCGTTTTTGTGCTTCAGACATGCTTTCTCATCGCCATCTTTATTTTCTCCAAGGCCGGACATGTTGGGATTGGATGCAGGATTACAAGGGAAAGTGTAAATATGTGGAAATGTGAAGGTTTAAGAGAGGTGGAGATTTGTTCTGATGTGTTCGAGCTTCTGGTTTCTGACTAAAAAGGTCTGTACAGCTTTGAATTCTCCTAAAATAACAACTGTAGTGTTATCTGCTTGTTTAAAGACTTACATCAGAGTATAATATACTATTTTGGCGTACATTTGCCAATATATTAAAGCTTATAGGCTACATAAGGCCGCTTTCTTTGCATTTGTTTCACCTTCATTACGAGAGGTGCGTCATTTTACGCCTCAAACTCAGATCTTATTTCCTGCTTGTTTAAAATGGTTTCAGGATAAAGCTATTTTTGCATTAAAGGCTATTGTGAAATCTCAAAATAGAGGATTTTCCTCCAGTCGCTGCAGAACAGTTTGAAATTGACCATTCAGGCCACATATGGAAATAGAGTTCGACTGATTGGAATCCTGAGGGGGATTTTAAGGTCACAAAAACTTTAGGCGGCACATTAGCCAACTTTTCTATCAAGATTATCAGGGCGAAATGAACAGGAAAGCCAAATTAATTCTTTAAACGCAATTCTTTTTTTTCTAGTGTGTTATTTCCGTTTTTGGATTGTTTGAAATGGCCTTTTTCAGTTGGCATCTGGTAATTTTCCACAAACAACCAGGATTTCCGACATTTATAGACGCAATAAAACCATAAATTCCTGAAATGCAACACATTCATCCTCCCCTGGCCTCCAAGACACACAAACTGAGACAAAGTCACTTTATTTTCTTTAAAATGTCATAATCCCGGATAAAAATACGATCAACAAAAATTTGCTTTGAAACGTGTAATTATTTCCAAAAACAAAAGCTTGTCATGTTTATCTTCTGATCTTTAATATTCATTCCTAAAAGTTAGAATAATGAATAAATCTGATTAGGCCTTTCAAATCATTAGCTTTCGAAAAATTGTAAAAGTTCAAAAATGAAAACCAAGTCCTCGGAGGGGCCATGCTTGCTAAAATATATTTTATTAAAACTCTTTCGATCCAAATTAGTCGATAAATGGGCCTTTTTTAGGCGCGAGGTTGGACATGTAAAACTTTATATAATGCAAGATACCAATTCGACATATAATAATAATATTTCTGCACACATTACTGTCGATCTATATTTTCTGAGCTATTAAGATAATCTTTACTTATAGGAAAACGTTTCTCACAGTGTTGTTGGATAATTTCGTCTTTTTTGTTTGTTTCTGTCTTCAGGCTGCGACCAAACAAAAGGAACCGGATGCTGTAAAACCTTATGGCCTCTTCAACTCTCACTTCGAGATGAAACCCACTCCTTTTCGATTAATAAGTCACTTTGTAGCAAAACTGAAAGATGTCCGAAAAAATAATAAAAATAGGCATGTATTATATTTAAATATGCAACCATAAAACATTATAAAATCACTGGAATCTATTTCTCGGAAAATTGAATTAAACAAGAAGGTGATTTATAAAAATATATAAAAAAAGATCAAATATTTTGTTAACCAATAGTGCAAAAAAAATCTAAACTTGACTGCTCATGAAAAATGTCCTTGAGAAAAGAGCAGAAGGCCTTAATTTTTTTATATCCCTCAGTTAATCTTGAGATATGGTTTTAGTGGTGTTTATAATATCCATTTGGTTTCATTAAGCACATTCATGCTCATCAACCCCTATAACTACTGACTTTATTAGATTCTGGTCCATTTTTCCAGAGGATTTGGATGACACATGCTGTTAAATCAGGCTTGTCTGCTTTTATTTTGGCACTGTAGGTCAGGTTTATTTGAGATAAATTCATCCCCGGAGCAAAATGTTACACATATGTGAGCACACACAGTGGGTAGAAAAAGTGAAAAAGCCATAATGGTGTTGTCTGCAGTGCAGGAGCTTATTGAGTGGCAAGCAGAGTAAACTGCAGGAGTCCAGATATCAAATCTATAAAGTATCAATGTGTTTCACAGTTTCTCTACCTCCACTCCTCCTCTGCAGAACTTTACATCCCACTGCAGGTTGCTGTGGTTCCCCTCACTGCCCTTTACCGTGCTCCTGCTGGGGGGGGGCTATGCGCGAGGATTTGCGGACCATGTGAGAGAAGCCAGGCCTCCTGACCAAGGGGGCCCGGGTGGAAATGACGAGCAGGCTCTGCAGGGCGGAGGGGTCGTGGGACACGTAGGAGCAGCGCAGGGCGGCTTTGGGGACGTGGTGGTTTATGATGGGGACGCTGGGACGGGACCGCGAGCAAGTGGGGGAGCTGCTCCTGTAGTCCTGCCTCCCAGAGAGAGAGCCCCCCGCTGAGGAGGAAACACAGAGGAGGTCTGACTCACTGGGAATATCAGGTGTGGAGTTTAAGTGTGTTTGTTTTAATGAAAAGATGAAAAAGGGGAGGGGAAGTGTACAGATGTTTAAGGTTGAAGTAAATACCAAAGGGTGAAAAAACTCTGCAAACATCCTGCATTCAAAATCAGTTAAAGTCAAAATTAGACTTTTAGAATCATATTTGAAAGTTTTCATACAGACCCATTTCAGAGGCATACACATTTTGTAATCTTTATCATTTATAGGATTTATATTCATGCATTCAGAATCGAAATACTTTATGTATCCTGGGGGGAAAGGGGTTTTGTGACAGTTGCGCCATTTTAGAAAAACACATACATACACATAAAATGTTAGAGTAAGAATGTGTAATAGACATTTAAAATAAAATAACGATATTTATACAAAAATAAGAAGTAAAAGTAAAATGTCCAATAAAATAAAATACACATTTATATAAGCATAGGTTAAAGTAGAAATGTGAACATCATAATACAATATATAGTATGTACAAGATATTAATGCTGAACTGCATTTCAATGTGTTCACAAATAATAATATTATTTTATTCAGATAATAATTGTAATTATACATTATTATATTAAATATAATCTCTTATTATTGGATTTACATTGTTTATTAATTACCATAATATGCAAAGTTACTAAAGCTATCAAATATATAGTTGAGTAATTAATCAAATATTTGCCCTCAAAAATGTAGTAAAGCAAAATAGATGGAATTACTCAAGTAAAGAACAGGCAACTTCAAATTGTACTTCAGCAAAAGACTTGAGTAAATATGGTTACATCCCAACACTGAAGGAAAGATAGAATTGTATTCACCCCGAGGGATATGCTTGTGAAGCAGTTGAGGTACCAATAAGGAAAGGGTGCAAATATAAAACATCCATAAATATCAAAATGAAAGAATATCAATATCCAGATAACAGATATCCATAATCCAAAATGCCAGAAATATAAACAATGTTTTGAATTGCAATGATAAAATCCTATACAATGCTTTTAATTGTGTTTTTAATAATGTTTGTGATTTTAAAATGAATGCAACTGTACTGTACACAAACAGACAATATGAATGAACATATATGATTCAAACGTATTATTGTAATTGGGTTTGTTCATATTCAACGAATATGATGGAGACAATAAAGAAGAAAAATGGCAGGTATGAAAAGCTGTCTCTGATGGAACATTTGTGATAATAAATCATATTCTTCTCACTTTTCAGGGAGTTTCGGTCTTTTATTTTGAGATTATAGTGGAACACACATGATTTAGGATGTTTTTAGGAATTGCAGAAAGAATCTAGACAACAAATTGGCAAATCAAATGCTACATATTGACAGTGTCACTGAGAAAAAAGCCCAGAGCAGCTTGTGATACTACACATCCAAAGTTCTGAAGTACGTGCTGTGTTGCAGAGTGCATAAAGCGCGTGGAGGTGTGTTTACCTGGCCAGAGTGTCCGCTGGGCGCTGAGGCTCCGCTGCATCTCCTCCTCTCCTCTGTGCTGGCTCCCCGGCTCAGACTCCATGCATGCGGGCCTGAGCAGGCGCTGCTGAGTCATGTGGGAGTGCAGGTTCTGCTAAACAGCCCAGATATGATGTCATTTTAATCCTGCTCCATGATGATGTTTCATTAGAGCTGACATTATCAATGATATTCACCTCAAGGGCTTTCATTTGAACAGAGTGTTATACAATCACTGACAATGAGCCAAAATCTTAATACGTTTATTCTCCACTGAAGATTATTTGTTAATATTATGATTTGACTGCTGTTTGTCTGTTCAAAGAGTTTCCACAGTTATAAAGCAACTGTAGAACCCCCTGGTTCATTCAAATTAGATTTGAAATGTCATTTAAAGCCAGCAATATGTCCTCTGGGAGAAAAAACAGTTATCTTTGAAATCATAATCCTGTGCAAAACTTGATTAATATAATGTTACAAGTCTTTTTTTTCAAATTATTTGATTGAAAGACAGTAAATCCACTTATTTTTTTACTTTTTCAAGCAATATTCTCTTATTTCAGCTCCTCAAATGTGAGTATTTAAAGGTTTTCCAGAGTATAACAAATATATTTTAATCCTTTGTAATGTTGGTAGGACAAAACAAGCAAACCAAAATCCTTGTGAATGTTTTTTTCTCACTATTCTTATTTTGTTATACTATTCTATTGTATAGTATTAATGCTTTATCCAGAAAAATTAAAACCCTTAAACTTAATCTGAACAAATAAATGGAGTTGTTGGAGCCCTCACATTATATTGGATTATTTTTGATTGGATTGGTGTGTCCCGTGTCTCTTTACCTGCCGTGAGACCTGCGTGCAGAGCTGCTGCTTTGTTCTTAAAGGAAACTGCATCAAAGACTCCAACTGGAATAAAAGAAAAACAGTGAAGGGACTAGAAGCTAAAGTCAACACAATCATTGTAATCAAACTGAAATTTGAGACCATACAAGGCCTTCATTCTTAGTTATTGCTGTGTTCACTTTGGCTCTATACGACACACATACACAGTACCTTGGCGTGTTGTCTCTGATGAGGCTGTCTAATCTGCGGCTGGGTAGAGGCGTCCTGTGGGACCCCCCCTGTGTCCCCCCGGCCCTGCAGCAGCTGGCCGATCTGGTCCACCACCCCGAGATCATGGAGCAATTTCTTCCTCTGGAGCAGCGCGCCGACTCGCTCCTGCTCCTCCGGGTCTTCCTCCTCCTCATCCTCCTCCTCTTCTTGGCCTTCTGCAGCTTCAAGATCCACTGACGCACTGGACTGAGGGAACTGCAGGGAGACATTTGATTCAATTTGTTTTGATTGCCTTACTGTATATGTGTGCATTTACAATATATTAGCAATTACTGTCACTGAATACCCCTGATAACACTGTTTGTTTTCACAATAAAAGATATTTGGATTTGAAATGAGACGTCCAATAGGAATTATCTTCAGTAGTATTATTGTGGCTAATTTAAATTGGGTAAGAGTCTATTTCCTCTCAGGGGTCAGCCAGTATGTGAAGCATTCATCATCATGAGACAGATGCTGTTTGACTCCCTCTTGTGGCGACATGTGGACGCTGCATCTCACATGATAGGAGCGCCTCACTGGCTGCAGGTCACAGTCACTGTTGGAGTCGGGGGGTTGTTCTCTTCGGGGTCTGACTGTCTCCCCCGCAGTCTCCCCCTGCAGGTCTCTCCTCCTGCCCCCCCTCTGGTCTCTGTCCCTCTGCTCCTGCTTCAGACGCAGCTCTTGCAGTTGTTGCCTAAACACATAATACACAGAAACCTTAGCATCCCTATTTGGCTTTAAGTCGAATGGATTTTTATGATATTATTCACTGCAATTATATCCCCTTTTCTGAACCTAAAAATAAGAACAAAATAATAATGAATAACAAAAACAAGATCAAAGCCCCACCAAATATAACTTCAGTAGAGGCCATCAGTTGAATGCCTCCCCTCTGCCAATCAAAGTTCCTCCTCTGGATGCATTTTTCTTGTGAGCTAGACAACACATTTGAATGGGCTGGGTGGGCCGTCACTAACACAAACACTTATTTCTTCTCACTACTTGTATTTTTTTGTTGATCAACTCATTAACTAAATTATTATCTCATAATTTCAGTAGCAGGTTGAATTTAAGAACACCTGCTATCACTTGTGTAGTAATGAGGCACAACCCTCCTTTAACTTCAGTAAAGCTGCAGGTTTAAATGTTTGTCTTCATTTGTGCACAAAGCGAGCAGATTACACTTTTTCACTTTCCTACAATAGACCATCTTTTCCTCTTACTGCCTCTACTGTAAGTGCATCACTAACGGCTCTTCACTAAGTTTGCGTCTGCAGGTACCTGGCACACTCCTCTCTGGCCTTGGAGGCTGCGGTCTCCTGGAAGAGCGAGCTGCTGTGTTTGAAGTACTTGTCGTATTTCTCCCCTCCTTCTCTGGGGTAGATCCTCTTGAAGCCTCCCAGGTGTTTGGCCTCGTACCTCTCCATCTGCTCCACCGTGGCTGCCTGGCACTGTCGCATCTCCTCCGACCTGCACACACACGATAGCAGTCACCGACGGGTGCCTGACCTTGGGGAAATAACACATCACTTGAGACTGACAGAACTCTACCTGGCCTCTCTGGTGCTGTTTTGCTGCAGCCTGTCCTTCACCCTGCGCCGCTCCTCTTTGGTGATCTTGCGGCGGTCGCAGGCACCCAGGTTGATGAGAACCAGCGTGTCGTAGAGTAGCGCGTCCTTCACCTCGCGGTCCAGCTGCGAGTCGGTGGTAAAACTTGGGGAGTGATTCACCTGGAATACAAAATGTACTGATCGAGTAAGATGTCTATTCACATTGGGGATTTTCTGGGTAAGATTTGAACCCCTTTAACTTTAATATAAACTCATGATGTGCAGCTAGGGACATATACTTTCAATTTAAAAAAAAGTATTCATTATGATATTCATTTTTATTACTGTTAAATATAATCAGCAATACTCTTTTTCAAGTTTTGTTTACTTCATTTAATACAATTATTGCTTTTATTGATATTCTATCAGGCATTAGTGTTAATATGACTCCTCATACACTTAGAGTGTAGAATTGTATTGGTTTTGATTGAACACGTCACCTTTGGGATTAATATAGTTCTTTATCTCATAATTGGCTAAACTTTAGGTAAATGTTTATAAAAAGATGCACAAGGCCTTACATGGATAATAGAATGGTGCAGTCCGATAGAAAAGGAGGAGCCTTGGGTCTTAAATTAACACATAAATATGATCAATGTCGAGCTAAAGGAATTAGATTATACTGTAGAAGGGGGAGGCTGTGGCTCAGTGGATAGTGTGCTGGACTTCGAATCAGGGGGATAGTAAGTTTGAGTCCCACTGCAGCCAGCATTGCTCCTGTGGGGATTGTCCACAGTACTGAACGTATGTAAGTCACTTTGGATAAAAGCGTCTAACAAATGACATGTAATGTAAAATAGTATATAATAATGATTTCAACCCTAAAGACTTTAAAGGTAACATTTTGTTACTTAAAATGTTAATTATGTCCTCTTTGCTAAAGTATACATTGAAATAGATTTAGATGTGTTCTCTTATAATAATACCTTAATACCTTTAAGGCTTTTTATTGATCTAAATAGTTGTTTGTGATTTGCAGCATGCTGCAGTTACTGATGATAATCCACAGACCTGGTTATGAATAGTTTCATATTGGAACTATTTTATACTCATAGATGACAGAAGTCAGGCTCAGTTGTTTGAAGGTGTGGTTCACAACAATAAGCCTTTTTAAGCAGAGGTCAGAGAGGGTCTCTCACCTCCAGCACCCAGGGTCTGAGCCGGTGGTCCAGCAGAACATCGAAACCCAGGATCTCGAAGCAGGCGCTGCCCGTGGTGTGGTTCGGGAAGCAGGTGTGGTAATTATGCTTTAGGATTGGATGAGCAGAGATCAGAGTCTTTATGATCACATCCTCAATGTCGTGCCACATCTTGTCTGTGTTGCAGTTGATGGACTCCAGGAGCTTTGTCAGGGTGGAAAGCTTACTGGGGGAGGGGCAAAAACAACAAACATGCAGTAAATATGCAGATTGTAAGTAGTGTTAGTACTATGACACAACAAGCATTGTCAATGTGTCACCGTTTGCTGCCCTTGTCCTCGTCACGCACAAAGTTTTCGCTGTTCTTGTTGATGGCGTAGTTGGTGAGATGCATGCACACATCCTCCTAACATGAGAAATACAAGGGAAGAGAGATACATCACACAAAAGACTGGGATATACAGTTACAGGCTGAGAAAGCTAGAGAGAAAAATGATCTGCAAGAATTATAATAATGAAAACATTCTTTAAGAAAGGGTTTTAAACTCTAATGTGAGCATTTTCTGTTTTTCTAAATCTGCCATGGTGAAAACTGCATCTCACTGGGTTTTGCTAGACATAAAAATACATTTTTAAAGTTATTATGCGTTTAAGGAAATTAGAATTTGCTCATATATGAAAGGGTTAGCGTTTACTGTTATTAAATAATTATTTAATAACTAATAATAATTGTAAATGGAAAATGTTTGTAAAGGTTGCATCTGCTGTGCTCTAATATTGTATTTTATTTTTAACCAAAAGAGTTATATACTGGAATGTTAGTGCATGTCTCAGTGTAATCTTTTTGTAAAAGTATTTGTTTGCGAAGCACTTTTTTAATCACAAGGATTCAGACTATCTTCAATATAAACTATGTCTAAATAAGAAAAAGTTATTTAAACTTCATGAAAAAGTACTTTCTTTTTGGGGACTTCTTTCAGCAGCGGATCATTTAACATTTTGGACTTGTATGTAAGATTAAAACAAAATAAAATAACGTTTTTGTGCTCATGGTAATAAAGGAAAATGTAACCTATGATTGGTCAACAATGGAGTATAGAATATTTATAGACATTTCTCACCACATTGCTTTGTGTTGGTTCGTTGTACTTGGTGGTGCAGAAGCGAGTCAGTCCCTCCTTGAACATGAATATGCTGAAAGGGTCACATGACGTCACCAGGACGTATATACGCAAGTCAAACTTGAATCCGTCGATTATGTAAGGCTGAGGAGGGAATGTAAAAAGACAAGTTAATTTCAACCCCTATGCGTTTGCGTTTCTGTGTGTATGTTTTGTATAACAGGCCGTCACCTTGGAGACGTAAACCTGGCAGATCATGTGTTCTCCAGGTTGAATGTCTTTACTTGACTTGGTGATGATGATGCCTTTGCCTTGGCAACCGGTATCTGGCTTACAGATATACGTCTTGCTTTTTTTGGCCCTGGTGTAAGCTTGGAAGTCACTGTAACTGCAAAGTAAAATCACATGAGGAGTTAGTTTATTAAGTGAGGAAGCCTTAAGAGGCAAGTAAATGATAAAGGCATTTATGTTGTTGTAATAAATATGTCTACCACCAGAGGCTGTAGTGTAGCACTACTCCATGTTCTTAAAGGGGCCCTACTATGCTCATTTTCAGGTTCACAGTTTGGTCAGAACAAGTATCAAGTGTTAATCTCATTAATGCTTTAAATCCTAATAAACACAAGAAGACAATTTGGAAGTTAAGTGAGAGAAAACTAATCCCCAGAATTCGTTTTTTCATTCTCCTCTCAGGGCTTCCAGATATTATGACACACAAAAAAAACGAAATAAAAGATCAATATCACAGTGGGAAGTGCAAACTGACTCTGCAGGAAGGCACCATGTTCTGGGGAAGATATTGTAGTCTTTGGGGAAAAGCTTGAGCATACGGTTCATGTTTCTTGCCAGTAAATCTTTCCGGCAGATCTCACTCATCCCTGGGAAATGGTTTATTTTCTGCAAAGACACAAGAGACACACACAACAATGTTTAATGGGGAGGTACTCTGGTAATTATGTGAGGATTATGTACAAAACTGTACAAGTGAGATATGACCAAATAAACCAATAGTACTTATTCATTCCCAGATAAATCATAGGGTCATAACCTCCTGAATACTTCCTGCACTGAGTTACCCAATTACATTACAAATTGATTGCTTGAGCTGAAAGGCTTTCATGATCAATGAGAAAATAAAGCAATCTCATAATCTCAATGGAAATCTATATTTTTTATTCATGTGTAGGCATATTGAGCGGAATAATTTAAATTACATGTAAGGCTATTACAATATGACAGAGCAGGAGACTAGTCCCATACAATTCATTTTCAGATGAATTCACACAGTTCAATTCAGTTTGATGAGGGTTCAAGGATTATGGGCGTAATGTGGGTGTTCAGTGGAATACCTGGTATCGCTTCATGTCCTTAACCCGGTCTAGAGACACAGAGCAGTCGGTCCAGAACAGTGTCCAGTCGTCCCCCTCCGCTGCCTCTCTGAGGCCGTATCTGCGAGCAGCACGCCGCACTGAGACCACCAGCAGAGAGTGTATTCATTAAATCCATTTCTGTAATATTTTCTTCTACAAGATGAGCTACGGATTATTTTACAAGGCCAAAAGTATGTTGACACCCGAACAACAAACCCAAATAAAATAGTTTTACACTCTTCTGGTTTCAGTTTTTACATCAGCTGTTTGAAGCTGGCTGCAGGGATTTGTAAAGAGTGCACTTGGGGCAAAATTATTGATAGTTTTTGTCTTGATAAAATTCAAATACCCAACACTGAAATAAAAAATACATTAAAATAACATATAGGAATGGTTGTATATATGTGCATGATGTAAATATGGTAACTTGGCATCTTATTTGATCAAGTGTGTGTTATAACTTATTATCCATCTCATTTTCCAGAAATGATTGGAATATATCCCTGTTTCACTCTAAAAAAAAATGTTCCCTTATTGTAAAACAATTTGTGCTAGATGTTTTGCTATACAAATAAAGTTTATGATATGTTAGTTATTATGTACGCCTCATGAGCATTGGTGAGTTCCAACACTGCAGTTGGGGGATCGGAGGCACATTACTTCTACAATATGACGACAGGATTGTTTTATTTTCAAAATAACAAAAGATTGTTGGTGTACAAAGCTGGTTGTGTAGATAAAACACCAGATAATAATAAAAATCACACATTTTCCAAGGTCTACATTTTAATTTATTCAAGCATATAACTAAAACTTTACAGCTAAAACCAAGCAATTTCCTGACTTTGTACAAACCATGTATAGCTTGGACTAATACTTTCATAAAATAACAGAATAACAGAAATGTATGACTTAGCCATTGAAACGTACCACTTTCATATTTGCAGTTGGTGATGTTGATCCACAGTCATCTGGAAGAGAAGAGAGATAGAAAGAGGGACAGACATCTGCTTTGCTGCAAGATCCTTCAAATACTTCATCAGGCTCATCCTTTCAACAAATGATGAGGAGACGTAAGAACATCCAAACTGTCAGTCTGCTTGGAGGTACCGGCAACTGTAAATAACAGTAGAAATGGAGGAGATGTTGTAGGAGAATACCTCTTCTTGTTTTTCTTCCTCTTTTTGTTAATGGGTGGCGGGGTGCGGGTGCAGGCTTCCGCTTGGCTTTCACCACCCTCTCCTTCTCCCTGCTGATCATATTTTAGTGCATCATCTTTTCTGTCTGGGCTGTCCACCTGTAGACCCATCCTGGATGTGGAAAACAAAAAGAGATGCACTCATTTGAATGTGAGCAAATATTTGTTTTAAAAGCACACAGTATGTGACAGTTTACAAAGTATGCCAGTCCACTCTTTCCCATGGTATGTTTTAATGGGCACAGCCATTGAAGCCAATGAAATTCAATCAAACAGAACAAAGGACATGGTGTAAGTGCGAGCAAGGACTCATGTTACTGTTTCCACTCCTCTCATCAGGTGAGTGCTCTGGCTGTCAGCACAATGTCAAACACCCGCATTCAAAGGTTATTGTGGCATGACGGATACAAATGGTCATTAATAGTTTGACAAGAGCAAGTGGGAATTAAATGTAAAGCCAACCAGAGCTTTTCGTAGTGTTGATACAAAAGGAAAAGAAACATTAGCGTATTAGTACCTGAAACTAAGAGTTGGCTTTGCTTAGAACAAGGCAATGTTTACCTTGTTGTGATATGTTGTTTTAACAGTTACTATATCATTTGTATTATGTATTTTTTTGCTTTGTGTGAATCTGTCCTGTTTTTCATTCTCACTCTGTTGCTGCTTTAACTCCTGAATTTCTCCACAGGGATAAATAAAGGTCCATTTTATCTTACAGTATGTGTATCTCTGCCGTGAGTGCGCCATGTTTCACCTGACTTTTCTACGGTAGCCCACAATGGACAAACCAACTTCAGGTTACTTGAAGGCCACTTGTCACGCACTGGTAAACAAAAGGGTTGAGTAATATTAATTTGGTTACAATGTCCACCGTTACCTTTATACGCCACTATAACATACACACTCGTTCTTTAAAGTATTGTAGTTTTTTTATTGTTTTAGTAGTGTCCCTTTGATTCAAACCAAGGTAATAACAATTCACCCTAACGGGGAACATACAAGTGTGTAACAATTTCATGTCAAACCATCAAATATTTGTTGATATATTTGAGTCCAAACCAGAAATGTACACCTCATGGTGGTACCAGAGCAAAATTCAGAGCGTCACCAAAGTCATAAGGGTTCGTCTTCAGGGGGCCAATAACGTCAGTAAATTGTTTAAATGACAATCAATGTACCGTAATTTTCGGACTATAAGCCGCGCCTTTTTCCCTATTTTTCGACGCTTATATAACGGTGCGGCTAATCTATGGATTTTTACAGCTAACGGCCAACACCTTTAAATCTATGGGCTCTATGGCCGGTCCGCGGACCCCCACTTTTAAGCGGCGGGCTCCAGCAGGAAAAGCTGGAGGCCGGAAAAGAGTGAGACAGGTAGCGCGCAAAAGTAAAAGTGGAACCGAGAGTGGTATGCCGCTGCTGCGGCTTATATTCAGGTGCGCCTTATAGTCCGAAAATTACGGTAATAGTTGTAGAGATATTTAGGTCTGGACCAGAGCGATTAATCAACTGATCGATATAAAGCCCTGCTTCCAGCATGTCTAAAAATCCAAAGTTTATAGGAATAAACCCAGGCGGGTGTAGTTCAATTGATATGGTCTTTCTATGTCTGTCTGCACTCTGACCTGAGCACAGTGGACGACAATCGTCACATCAGCATCTCAGCTGCTCTCCTCAGCCTCCTATCTGGTGTCTTGTAGGGTTGAAAGTGGGGACAAGTTCATTCGTGGTAATGATGGAGAACGTGGTGGCAGTATGGAGGGACATCCCAGGCACCCTGTGGGAGGTTACGGTGCTCGGTGACAGTATTCTGATCCAATGATCTGGATAATCCTGGCCCTGAACTGTGAGCTTTACATCGGGCCGAGACGCACCGCTGACCTCAGCCCGGATTCAGTTACAGTCCCGCAAAGGGCTTCTCCAAGTTTTCCCTCAGCGTGCAACAACAACAACAACATCAGGTAATAACACCTAATTATCTGTCCTCAACCAACAACGACTGGACCCAGTGAGAATTACTTTGTAATCTACTAAGTATCATTGCATAAGACCCTGCATTTAGGCTACACCATGACAAGACATACCATCACCGTATTTCCTTTAATAATTAACTAAATAAGTACTAAAGCACTAAACACTGAAACATCTTTAAAGGGGATACCCTTGCAATTTTTGAAATGTATCTCTTGCTTCTACGGAGCGGAGGTTTCACTGCTGCTTAATTATTTGAATGTCATGAAGGAAAAGATAATTTCTTGTCTTATTAACTTTTCAACCTGGTTCAGCAGACTGCCTCTCACTTGTCAACATTCACAATGATGCTACGATATTAGTAATAGTTTTCTTTATTTTCAAGTTAAATAATTAAAACAATATAAATAAATGTGCCGCATATTTTAAATGAGTTTTCATTTTGAGTTTTATTCATTGATTTCGAGCATTATATTGTTTTAATGTTGTAGGTTCTTTAGTGTTGCAAAAATGTGAAGCACTTTGGACTGCATGTTTGTACAAAAGGTACAATATAAATAAGTAAAGCTGATTTTAACTGGAATGGAATGTACAGGAGTGTAACCAAAGCCCACGTTTTGTCCTAATTTCATCTGAAAACTGCCAATAAATTTGCGATGATATGAAACAGAAAAGCAACACAATTAGTCAAATACTAAAGGTAATAACACACAAATGCTCTCCTCTTTTTGGTTAAATAACTAACAATTTCTTTAAAATCAGCACTAATCATCTTTTAGTTCTAGTAATCAACTTGCCAGTTTATTTGAAACAACTAAAGCCTTAAACTGCCACTTAAAATGAATGCATGTCTGGTTAAACAACAAAAGTAATAATGTTCAGTGTTTGAGAGATGTTAAATTCACTTTGTCGTCATTTTTAAGACTGCACTACTACATAGACTGAATATAAGAAACACATCTGCAGACTGTATGCATTTAAGATTATTGTAACTTTTTTAATTTGTAAATGAGTAACCTTGTTTACTGTCTTCACCTCAAGAAATGGCTCTTACTCACCTGCAGTGTTGAGCCTACATCTGTGAGGACAAATGTGATGGAAGATGCTGCCTCCCTTATCCGTCTGCTTTCGTCTTTGGTACACAAATCCCTGTTTCAAGAGCTCTTTAAGACGCTGTCACACTACTCAGTAGAAAAACCAATGATCCACATCTCCACCTCGTGCACTGTCTGCCACTGGAATCTTTGAACAAAAAGAGAATAGATTTGTATCCTCAGCTCAGATTGACTTACACACTCAAGCAACGAGCCCAGTGGTGGATCTGGTGACCAATTAGAAACTGTGGAGACAAACACCTGATCCCCCATGACATGATGGGAGAGCAAAATGAGCGGCAATGAGCCCTCACTGGGAGAGAGGAGAGAGATAATCCCTGATATTTGTTCACTGAAATAGGAGATGTGTTTTTCAACAGCTCGAGTTGTTGAATTTAAATCTGTGCTGAAAAGCAGAGTGACAGTGTGTGGTGTAAGTGAACAGGTTGGACATCCATCTTGGAGCCAAGTTGAAATGGAGAACCTTCAGTTGAAGCCTAGTCTTCCATCGAAGACATTAAAAATGAAGTACAGGCAGAAGGGGAAATGCTGGTTAAAGTTGTAGACAAACAATACAATGTGTCTTATTATCTCCCAGGTGTCAATCTGAAATAAACAAGAGTGGATGAAAATATTGAGGGACAATAAACGAAAAGCACAAAATCTTGGCGTGGATGCAACCGTAGCTGATATCCTTTCTTGATTATCAATAAATCCAAATATATTAATAATTAGTTGATATCCTACACCCTTCAACACTCTCTTATCTTTCTTTTGTCTTTATTATGCTTGCCTGCTAAGCTTCCACCACTAAAGTCTGTTGCTGAATTGTCTGAATACTTTACTGTATTTAAAAGCGTTTAAACTAAGTGAGAGTCACATTGGCAACGTGATCTCTCATTTAATTACAGAGCATGGCAATAATAATTTAATCTGACAAAGTATGTTTATGGAGAGATATAAAATGCAAGTAGGAGAAATTAATGTGATCCTTTCTTTTAAATATTATTAAATAATGTCTCAGGTGTGTCATTAAATAACCTTTTTTTTTTTTTTTTTTTTTTAAATGTTGTCAGTAAATAAAGTACAACTTAGTGAATTGAATATGCAAAGAGGTGACAATGTAATTTTTTTTGCAGAGCACAAAGGAGGGCTATGCTGTGAGGCTCCAAATAAATAGATCATGATCTTCCTCAGTCAATGTAACAAAGTAAATTTATGTAAATACTGTACTTAAGCTAAACATTAAAGCTACTTGTACTTTATTTGAGTCTTTTTTATTCATGTCCCTTTGTACTTAATACACTACATTTAAGAGGTAATGTTCTTTTTATCTTACTTCAATTATTTGACAGCTATAGTTACTTTACACATTCCTTCTTTGCAAACATAAAACAACCAAATAATGTATTAGTTGTAATGTAACAGAGTAATGTAACAGTTTTACTTTTAACAGAGTATGTACAGCGTAGTATTAGTAGGATATTGATCTAAATACCTTTTCCACCCCTGCTCTTGCGAGACTTATAGGTAGCATTTACTTCACCTAAATTAGACCTAACGTGCGGCAGTTTAGTTTAATACGTTCTCTGTTTGTGAGCAACATCTCTGAATTGTATTTGTAATGTTTAACACGAGTGTTTGAAAGTTTCAGGTTGTCATAATTTAAAGAAATCAAGATTAAACATCGTGAGCTAGCAACATTAGTTGTAGCTAGCTATATGCTAATAATTTATACTGTATAGTTGCTAGGGTAACGGAATGCTTCAGGCTAACTGCCAGCTAGTAGGAGACGTTAAACAAATAACTTTTACTTTTTTAGACAAGTACAAACGTCATAAACGTGACATTACCGTTCTACATAGGTAAGTATTCTCGTTACCGACCAACAAACTAACCGAGCATCCTTGAGTAACGTGGCTGATGTCAGGAGGGTCGTGTTGTAGTCTTCTTGGCTTGACACACAGTGGGGACGAAACCTACAAATGTAAACATGAATGAACTCGAGGCCAACACGCGCCGTGGTGCCTTTTTTGGGTGGAACTTCCTCCGTTACGCCCTTAGCCTATCACAAGCCGGGGGTGTGAGAGCTCTCGTGTCTGATTGGTTGTTGGCTCATCGACTAGAAAAGATACATAATAAAACATCCACCTTGCAGTTTGTTTCAAGATAAGGTTTTCTGCTAAAACCACGTAATTCTCATAGAAAATCTATACTTGTCTCTCTGAAATTAAAATGTAGATTATTAGAAAAAAAAGTTCCATCACACAACAGGTGATCTGTTGTAATTCATACCTTTGAATCCTAAACTATATAAAACTAACATACAGATTCATTTATTTTCAATATGTATTTCCTAATAAGTGTAGGCAAAAACATGTATCAGGTGGTACTGTTATTAGTTTTATTTATTTATATATTGGTTAATAATGGTGCATTTGTTTTAAATATTATTTGTGTAACAATTGTTTTGAAGTTTATTCTTCCTACGTCCTTTGACATTATGGTTAATGAAAATTAGCATTGCAACATATATTTCTAATACTTGAAAATGATAATGTTATTCATGTAGGCCTACTCATGGTATTGATGTGTAAAATAGTTACTAAAGTAAAGTAGCATAAAAATGGTGGTGAAAATTATGAATAAAAGTTGCAGTGAAACGTATTTTTTTTAAATATTATTATCAAGAAGCGTCGTTATTGACCAAATAAATAAATCTTAATAAAAAATGCATACACACACTAAATCACAGAGCTCTCTTTAGTCTTATCTCCCAAATTATGCTGGACCTTTATGTTAGGAGCCTGTCATCCAGAAATGAAAAGCAGGAATATATAAGTCAAAACACACACTGAGTTTTGAACCGAGCAATGTCTAAGGGTTTATTGTAGTAACATAATTACAAAGATCATAACACGTATTCAGTGTTTGGCTCCCTCTTGTGTTTTTATGTCACACTGCAGAAGATAGGAGTGAGTGAGTTGTTTATATTGGCCTACAATTCCCATAATGCAGCATACGGGACTTTTCTTACGCAACTACTGATGCCTTTGGAACAATCTGAAACAAGGCAGCTATGTATTGTATGTGTACTTGCGCGTTTAGCCTGGGTTGTAAATCTATTTTAAATTTGTAGTAAATTAGTAACACGTAGGCTACAACACATAAAACTGTTAGCAGTCTATTAACCATACATAATGTAGAAAATTGGAAACTAAGTGGGGATGTCGGTCAAAGAAAAGAGATATAATAAAGTGTTGCTTAGCAATTGCAGTTAAAAATGGAGAAGAGTTGATTACAAAAATAGACTGCAAATATATATATATTATATCGCAAGATAGGCTATATAATATTAATTAGGTGAAAATTGAAAATTATTAATTAGCCTACCTTTTTAAGTATTGGTCACATGTTTCGGAGTTGTATTACTTTTTGGTGTTTATAGGTTTAAGAATCTTAATATATTCTGTAAAATCACATGAAAAAGTGAAATTATGGGAAACTTTTTTTACTGGGACATTTTACATGCACGTTTTGTCGGTGTTTACGAAGTTGGTACTACAAACATCCGAACAGAACTTGAACTCATCACAGCGCCTGAATCCGACCTGAGAAGACGGTTGATGTCGGTGTTGTGACAAGTGCCTGCAAATGTAAGTTTTATGTCTTTGTTTCAACATTTAGTCAGAAAATGAATGTTTATTAAGTAGTCTTGAAGAAGTAAACTATTTTTTTTATTAAAGTTAACATTTTATAATGTTTCGTGTGCGGTCTTTGTTGCCGCAGCTCACTTTCGCTTTCTTTATTTTTATGTTTAAAAAACGTTAATTACTCTCTAAAAGTTTGTAAAACAGATTAAATATCACCCTTAGTGAGAGGTGAAATCGTTTTAATAAACGTTTAAGCCTCTTTAACGCTGTGTTTCTGAGTTAATTTTGAATGCGTAATGGATTTGGAGGAAAATGAAACTAAAGGTTGGGGGCTACGCTTCAACAACAACAACAACCGGAAGAATGGAGCCTGAGAAAACACGGGTGCTGATATCTGACATTTCCCCTGCTGTCATGTGGTTATCTTGTTTATTGGCTGCAGCTCCCCATGGAGAACCCCGCAGAGGCCGAGGACCGTAATCCCCACACCTTCTCCCAGGTGGTGTTCACTGACACCCCGTACTCATACCCGCCTTCAATCCCCGGAATCACCTGCTGCTACACCCTCACTGCTGCCTTCCAGCCGAACCCCAGGGACTGGGTGGGCATTTTTAAGGTGAGGAAAAAATGTAAAAAGTTGCTTTAGCAATAAATAATCATTGTAGTGCCTTCATAATTTGATTTCATGTTGGTATGGACATTTCAAATCAGTCACAGGAATACATTGGGAAAATATGTTTAGGCAGTTTAGTTGGTTTCCAGAAAATGTATTCTGATGAAAACAGGCAATGAAAAAAGTTAAAATGTTTCTTTCTAAAAAAATATTATTATTATTTGGCCTGCCCTGATCAAACATCATACATCTAAATTCAAAGGGCAACATTCAACCAGATAGGAAAAGTACCTGTGCTCGCATGATTTGTTTTTATATATCTGCGTGGTGCATTTCTTGTTTTGTCTCCTCTTCAGGTGGGGTGGAGCTCAACAAAGGATTATCATACCTTTGTTTGGGTGGAGCCATCTCTGGATGTGGTAGGGCAAGAGTCAGCCAACAGGCAAGCTTATTTTAAAGGTAAGGAATAGTTTCAATTTTCCCACAGGGTGATAATGCTTAGTCATGCTTTTTACGTGACCTTCAGATGTCTGGAACACTGTGAGTGTAAAGTGTAAACAGGTCATGAGTAATTAGTGGCTCTTAAATCGGTTTTATGCACTTCTATGATGACACACATCTGATCCTTTGGCTCAGTGTTGTTGACATCATCTCTTATTCAGTCTTCTATTCAAACTAGGGTCAGATTTTATTTTCTCTCCACTTTCTAATTTCTCAGAGCTTCAAGATATTTAGTTTCAGTGTCTTTAAAGGTTGCTCCTAACAGGTTTTTTTTCAGTATTGACATATCTGCTGATTATTTTCTATATTAATTTATTGATCGTATGGTCTATATAATGTCAATAAATAGTGAAAATGTACATCCCAGTATCTCAAGGTGAAATGTTTTGTTTGTTCAGTCTATAACCCAAAGATATTTAATATGATATTTAACAGAGGAAAGCAGGACATCTCCATATTTTGGAGGTTTCCTGCAGCATTTATTTGCTGTTTTGAGAGATATTGATCAGTTAACTAAACACCTCTACTGTCTTTTAGACCAGTGGCTGACACACGTTTTTTTGAGGAACTAATGTATACTTGTGACTTGTCATCACAGTTTACTGCCTCAGTGTGGAACTCAACTTCTTTCTCAGATAGTTTCAATTTTTTCCAAAGTATGCATTCTCCCACAATTAAAAAAACAACACAAGAGTGAGAGAGTGTTTCTGCTTGTAAATGAAGTGAGATTTTACTGATTACTTACAGTGATTAGAATTGTGACATTTCAGATTAAAAAAATAAAAAGTCCTGTCACAAGTCTACACATTCCCTACTTACATTTTATTAAATGTCATAATTTGTATTTTAGCCTGTAAACAAGCACAACCCAGGACATACTAAGGAGTTTTAGAAGTTTTAACTGACCTTTTTCACTATCTTCTGACTTTCTACAGGCTGAACAACTGATTAATGAATAAACAAAGAAAACAAACTTTAGTTAGAGCCCTGAAAACATTGTAACAAGCTTTTGCTCACTCTGTTCCTGTCCCATCAGAGTACTACCTGCCTAAAGATGAGGTCGAGTTCTACCAGTTCTGCTACGTGAACAGTACTGGTAAAGTGCGAGGAGCCAGCACTCCTTTCTGTTTCAGAAGTCCAGAGGAGCAAAGCATGGAGGGCAGCGTGGATGATGACCTCCTGGTTATTACAACACAGGTATCAAACGCAAATGATAGATGTGGAGCCAACGCCAGCGTGTGTATCTTAAATCAATACATTACCACTGTAGAAATATTTAATAATCAATATTAGTACTTTTTGCAGAAGTGTTACTGGCTGAGGATTTGAGCACTTAACAGACACATCTGTTTATATGTAATGAAAACAGAAAGAAAGGTGAATCTAAATAAAGCTTTATATTGATTCAATGTGTTTTTATGAACCCAGGAGCAGTTGGAAAAGGGCGTACAGGAGAAATCTAATCTGCAGAAAAAGCTGGATCAGATAAGGAAAGAAAACAAAACCTTAGAAAATGACCTACAGAAGGAACAGCAAGAAGCTGCCAGCTTAAAGGTTTGCTGAGAGATAATGAACTCATTGCGCCATGGAGTGTTACATAAATATTGAACTTTGATGTTTGACATAGTATGATCTATTTCTACAGGAGCAGAATGATCAGAAAGAGAAAGAAATGAGTCAACTGGTCAAACAAATGGATCAAATCAAGGGAGAAAATGACAACTTACTGAGCACCTTACAGCAGCAGGTGAAAGAAACGGGCAACACAAAGGTTTGTATTTCAGTCGTGTGAAAACAGTGCTGCATTTTCGGTGTGAAGACTAACCTTGGTGTGCCGTCAACAGGAGATGTTGACCCAAATGACAAAGCAGATGGAGACGCAGCAACATGAAGCCGCCGTGCAGAAAGGACGTAGTCAAAGCCTGAGTTTGGATGGAGAATCAAAGCAAAATGAGGTAAGATGATTGTATCTTTTTTGCTGTTAAAGGCTCTGACAAAATCTTTTATAAATCATATGTTTTCTTACAGAAATACAACCGAGCTGTGATAAAGATCAACCAAATGAAAGAGGAGCGCGAGGAGCTGAACAGGAAGATCAATGATCAGAGTGCAGAGATTTCCACGTGAGTCGAGTCTGCACGTTTTATGATTCATCATCAAAGTGAAATAGTTTCTTTGCCTGTAACAGCTTTTTTTGGTGTGTTTTAGGCTAGAATCTCAACTCAGAGGAACTCAAAGGGAACTGTTAAAGTTGAAAGACAACGACCAGCTTCTCCAGGTAAATCTACTTTGTAGCAGAGCGCCTGATGGTGTTATTTTAGATTGTTTCTTTTAGTGTATTTGACTTTTCTACTCTGCCAAAGCAGAGCGCATTGGTTTCTATCCTTCTATATATTTACACTTTTCTAAAACAGTTTTTTTATACAGATGCACACAAAAACTATTTTGATGATAGATTAATTTTATTCACTTTTCTTAATTAGTTGCAGCCCTATACAAATATTTGCAGACGTACTCTTAAAGAGCAGATCATACTGGGAATAGTACACCCATAACTATAAAGTAACCTCACAAGTTAAATCTGTTTTCAAAAATGAGATACCTTTGCCACTATAAACACTGTTCTAACACTTTGTTGCTCTGACGTCATCAGGTCAATCTAAAAAATAAAAGGTCAGATTAATAGATTACTTGCGTCCAGTTCAACATTTACATCTTGTATTGAAATTTGTGTTCTTTACCTTTGGCAGGTTGACCTTCAGAGCAATGAGAAAGAGAAGCAGAGGCTCTCTGTGGAGCTGCAAAAGCTGCAAAGCCTCACACACAACATGGACGACCTGAAGAGGGAGAACCAGGAGTTACACAAGAGGCTGTCGCAGCAGGAGACTCTGCAGAACTGTCCTGAGGACGATCTAAGGGTGGGAACAAAATACTAATGATTTTAATACAAACAACACCAGGACTCTTTATTTATGCTAAATGATTATTGCTGTTTTCTCTCCAGGAGAAGTGTCAGACTCTGGCCACCCAGCTACAGGAAGTTCAGCTGCAGCTCGTGTCCAAGACAGAGGAAGCCAAAAAAAGTGTGAGACAATCTGAGTTTCTGGAGAAAGATCTACTGGAAGTCAGGGAACAGTCGGAGAAGATTATCAAATCATTGGACAAGGAACAACGGAAAAGTAACAAAATAGAGGTAAACTCAAAAAATTGTAAGAACGGTTTAGCTATATAATGTGGCTACAAGTTCAAGCTATCGGTCGGTAGAGAAGTTCAGGTCAAGGAAATCTTAAAGGGGCCCATTTTTTTGCTTCATACTGGGACATGTTTAACACTGAGGCTTGTTTTCCTTCATTATTTTCAGCTACAGCTCGCAGATGCACATGCAGCAATCGCAGATATAGAGGGCATTGTAGAGGACAAGGAAGATATGATCATGCTGCTAAGACACGAGAAAGAAGGGCTCCACAAAGAAAACCAGGTACGTGCACACTTTTTTGGTTTAAAGTGGCCTCTTTTTTTTTTAAATGTATGTTATTTAAGTTATTTAGATTTTAAAGGCATAACATTAATTAGTGCCAATTTCTGGTAAGCGAGAGTAGAAATGTATTTCTAATAGTAGAAATGTATATGCACATGTACAAATGGTTACACCACGTGGTGATAGATGCTAACTGCTGCTTTCTTCCGTCAGAGTCTTAATAATGATATCGATGGGCTGCGCAGAGTTTATGACGAACACCACTCAGTACCCCCCGCTGACTTACCGTCCAGGCAGCCTGAGGCCCCCCCACGCGCTGCCTCTGCATCACCCACCGACAACTGGCAGCCGCAGCAGGACACACCTGAAGTGCATGTGTACGACACCATAGGTGAGACAATTATTTTTGCTGTATTTAAAGAAGAGAGTTAAAAAGTTAATTCCAAGTATGTTTTTCTCGCAGTATTAAGGGTAGGTTCACTCAAATCACAAAATGAAAATTAATCCACAAACACTTTCCTATCTCAGACAACTGAGACATTGGAGGTGAATGGATTTTCAATTGTAGAGCTTCAAGAAATGTAAAATGATAATGGCAACTTGTCTTTCCCAGAACCTGTCACCCGTTTACTTGAGGTAATATCTAGTACCAGACAGGAATAGACATTAGTGTTGGGCTATATGACGATATTTATATACCATTAGGACATAAATCTGTCAACCGCCAAAGACATAGCCTCTCTATTTAGACATAAGAAGCTTTTACTTTAACAGTTTTAATGTGTGTCATGTTCAGTGTTGGGCAAGTTACTTTTAAAGTAGTAAACTAGTAATAGTTATAGTTACTGCTCTCAAAAAAGTAACTAGTTACTTTATTAGTTACTAAATGATAAAAGTAACTAGTAACAAGTTACTTTACTTTAAAAATAATAACAATACAAATACAAGTGTTTGTGTTGTTTTTTGCTGACTAGTTCTCTGAAGGCAACAGACTCGACCGTTGC